CAGGCCAGAGGACGCAGGAGAGGGCGCCGGTGAGTCTCCTGCTCCACAAATATAGATTCAGTGCCGCCATAAACAATATACATCAGCTCACATGCGGATCACTTGCTCACAATAATGCCTTGCCTTTCTCTCTCATTAGCAACATCCAATCAGGACGAGGGAGCTCAGGCCAAGGCGAAGCAGAGACTATCCCCTGCAACAAAATTCAGGAAGAGGAGGGGCTTCTTTGAAAGGTCAGGGGTCAAAGTGTCCGCTCACAGGTCAGGTTCTTTGCTGTCCGTGTGTGGTGTGTGTTCTGGGGTGTGTGAGGCTCACGCGTCTGTGCTCGCCCCCAGGGTGACGTTCGCCTGCTCCGTCTGCAAGTTTCGCTCCTTCTACAGCGAGGACATGAACGCCCACCTGGAGAGCAAGTTCCACAAGGACCACTTCCGCTTCCTGTCCAATCAGCTGTCGAAGCCCACCACCGACTTCCTGCAGGTGCGCTTCCCTCAACCCCCGCATCTTTCAGTTCTGCTTTGCCCGTGTTAGGAGGATCTGCCGTGTCATATTCATAACGGTGTTCTCAGTGAGGCAGATTCATGCTAATAAAAACATAACGCTTCATTATAATAAAAAATGTGCTTGTAATCGCCTTCAAATCCCAGATCCAGTAACTGTGTCCCAGTGGAGTTTTAAATGTCAGGTGGATCAACCTCATAGTTGGAACTCGTTTAGATTTATAGCTTTGCTTTTTCTAGCAGATTTAGGGTTCAACATGTTTTATATTATGTCAAATATTGTTCATAAGTCATGTGTTTTATAGGAGTATCTGAACAATAAGTTCAAGAAGACGGAGCAGCGAGTGAATCAGATGGAGAACCACAGCGCCACCATCTGTCAGGTGTTCAAAGAGCAGGATCTGACGCGAGGTACGTGTCCTCTCATGATGTCATTTCCTGTCGTGTAGTTCATTACGCTGTGTGTTCTCAGGTGACACTAAAACACTTATCCACTAGTGTAACCCAAGTTGTGGACATTAGGGAAATTAGATTTTGTTGCTTTAAAAAGTAAATGTCATTTAATTTAATAAAAGATGGTTGGTTTGGTTATTGCGCTCGTTTGCGCCCTCTTGTGGCCTTAATAATAACTCTCTTCCTCTAACATTGAAAATACTTAAGAAATAAATTCGAATTGATGTCATGATGTCACTTCCGGTGTAGATCTGGGCATGGAGCACTTCATGAAGAAGGTGGAGGCGGCTCACTGCGCGGCGTGTGACGTGTTCATCCCCATGCAGTATATGCTGATCCAGAAACACCTCAAGTCCTCCGACCACAACTACAACCGCAAGGTACGACCCGCATCAGATCGGTGTGTTGAGCTCCTGCGGAGGGGCTGGTCTGACCCGTGTGTGTGTGTGTGTGTGTGTGTGTAGGGCATGATGGAGCAGTCCAAGAGGGCCAGTCTGTCTGTGGCGCGCAGCATCCTCAACCACAAGGTCATCGGCAAGAAGCTGGAGAGCTACCTGAAGGTTCGTCTCGGCACTTCTCTCGTGTTTAGTCATCTGTGTTTTGATGATCAGTTTTACAGCCGTTTCCCCCGATATTTAAGCATTTTTCCTTATAAAGAGTGTTTTGTTTGTTACTTTACTTGTATTCTTCACTCCTTAGCATATTAAACACGTCTTCATTTAATTTGAACATATTCATTTAGATTTGTTTAATGGCTTCAGTATTTCATTGTTCTCGATTTGTCCATTTATTTTGCCTATTTTAAAATTGATTTTTGCTGTTGTGAAAGTAAAAAAAATAAGATGTTTGTTATTATTTTTTGCAAATTATTATAAAAAAAAAAAGACAAGTTACTCAACTATTGAGTGGGATTGCACCGATATGAGAATTTTAGCCGATAACAGATAATTCTGTATATTTAAAAGCCGATAATTGGGCGGTATATCTAAATCCAAGAGCCTGATTACAAAAACAAGTTTCACCATTTAAAAGTGCTAAATCAGTGTTCTCAGTGTAATCTTATGTAGCTGATATGATGATATTTAGTGATTCCAGTCATATTTCAAGTAATTTAAAATCATCGTCAACAGTCGAGTGTCTTATTTCGAGTGTCGGATCAACATTATTGATCGACACATTTTCTTACCGGGACGATAACGAGAGCATTAAAAATGAACATATATTGGCCGATACTGTTATATTGTGCATCCTTAATTATTGAGTTTAGCGTACTAATAACGTTAATAATCTTTTACATTGCAGCGTTTGGTGAGTTGTTCATCTGTGCTCCACACACTCGTCACTCTTAATAAACGTTCACAATGTTTGATTCGTTGGTTAACGAGTTTCGCTTTTTGATTCGCAGGGCGAAAACCCGTTCAACGGTAACCAGGAAGACCAGGATCCCGAGGACTCCATGGTGATGGAGGTGTCTGAGGGTGATGTCACCAATGAAAGCGTGAATGAGCCCAAACAGGAAGAGGAGGAGCCTCAGGCTGAGGAGGCGGAGCCTGTCGCGGAAGCCGTGGGAAACGGGGCGGGGCATGACGAGGAAATGAAGATGGAGATGGGCGGAGCCACAGAGGAGGAGGGTGTGGAGGCGGGTGAAGGAGAGGAGGGTGTGGAGGCGGGTGAAGGAGAGGAGGAGGAGGAGGGGGTGGAGGGAGTGGAGGTGGGCGAGGAGGAGGAGGCGGAGCTTGCCCTTAGCGCAGACGCAGAAGTGGCGGGAGATGCTAACGCTGCCGCCGCCGCCGCGCCCGTCGAGTAGCCGTCGACTAAACCGCTGATTAGCATTCGTTCGGAGAGTCGGTTCTACATCCTATCCTTTTGAACTTTATATGAAAACTGACCCTGGGTCAGGGCAGATCTCCCAGAGTGCACTCTGCAGCCTGAGGACCAATCAGAATAGAGCAGTCGTCTTGTGTTCATCCAATCACATGATTGCTCCGCCCCCTCTACGCCTGTGTCCCGTTTGGTCTGATTAGATGCGCGCGTGCGTCATGTGACTGTTGCTGTGCCTATCGAGATGTTTCAGTTTGTCACGTCTTTACACGCTGAAGTAAAACCTTTAATTTCCTTCTTTTTGTTTTGTTTTATTTGTTCATTTTTTTTTATTTGGTTTTATGGATGTGGCCTGTAGGAATTAAAGACTTTAATTTTCCAATTTCCACTCATTGTTTTTCTCTTGTGTTGAGGAAATAAATGTCTGTAAAGTGTTTTCTGAGTGAGTGTTTCTTCTTTCAGCTTGAGGAGTGTCTTTAACTGGGATTTGCTCTTTTGAAGTCGTTCTTTATTAAAAACGGCGTGTAAACAGAGATAAAACATTAATAAAAGGGACTGATGGAAGTTCAGTGTTTTTGTTGTATATACTGAATAAGACATCTGTTGTCCTCAGTGTCCTCCTGCTGTTGAGTCTATGGTGGCTTCGCTAGTGGTTCACTGATAGAGGACAGTCTGAACTATCAACATTGCAAATTTTAAGTCTGTAACTTTATCCCTCTAGCGCCACCACCTGTCCAAATTAACACTCGGGTTTATGTTAATCACTGTTGAACCATAAGCGATGGAAACAAATTATAAAACACATTTTCCCTTCTGATTCCTCAAGACGATTCGACTCGGCCCTGTACCGCCATTTTGAAAAGAAAAAAAATAAATACAGAGAACCTTCTTATTTGGTTCCCAACAAAATAACCAAATGGGAACCATATGCGAATGTTAGGGGTGTTTACTGGGTCCCTCGCTGCCCTCCATCTGAATTCCACACGTCATCATAATCACGTGACTGGAACCCAGCTATTGATAATAATATCGTGACAATAAATTTTGTTAGTTTTATTTTACAAATATTTTCCAGTGGTGGAATGTACCGAAATAAAGTATAAACTGGATAAATGCTTGTTGTGAGTGAGATATAATTGCACTAGCAGAACACTATAATAATATTGTTTAAAGCATAATTTCAAACTGCTATATGACGCTAATAGATTTAACAAATCAAAATTACCATTCATGACCTCTAATGCAAATATTAGCCATTAAAGACGTCAAAACTAATGGTGCTGCAAACAACTGTCTATTCTGGATCTATTGTGTATTTGGTCACGTGTATAATGGGTCATGAGCGTGCGCATATTTATTATAAAAATAATATGAATCCAGCTATAACCGTTCTTATAATGCAGTATGTTACTGCATTACACACACACACACTAGAGTCTGGCTTTATCACGAGTTCAGCAGATAAATGAAGGTTTTCAGCAGCAGAGGGAGCCCAACACACACACACACACACACGTCTGGTTTACTATCTTTGTGAGGAGGACTCTCATAGACGTACTGGTTTTTATACTGTACAAACTGTGTATTCTGTCCCCTTACACTAACCCAAGCTCTAAACCCACCTATCACACACACACACACGATTACATCTCTCTCTCACACACATTCACATCACACACACTGCGATTGCCGGTGTGTCTCATTTACATCGATGAGGCTCCAGTTTTTGCATGTGCGCGTGCGTGTGATGGTTGTGTTTTCAGGGTGAATGTGAGCGTGCGTGAGTGTCAGTGTTACTTACAGTACATTCTTTAGCGTGTGTGTGTGTGACACGGAGTGAATTACATCATTTCTCGTGGGTAGATGTGCTCACGGATCCAAAAACAACGTGTGTGTGTGTGTGTGTGTGTGTGTGTGTGTGGGTGGGTGGGTGGGGTGATATTTCAGCAGCCTCCTCAAATCTGTACCAGATGATAATCAGCTCCATACGACATCAACACACACACACACACACACACACACACACACACACACACACACACACACACACACACACACACACACACACACACACACACACACACAATAGTGTAGATAAAACAACAATAAAAAAAACTAAGTATGACGAACAGAAATATTTGTAAACGTCACCCGCTGCATCCAATCAGCTGCGTGCTCAGGGGCGCTTAGCCCCGCCCTCACCTCCATCCCCCCACCCCCAGCAGCGCACAGGTGAGTGAGCGCGCGCACAGCAGCGAAGGGAGCGCGCCTGATGATCCACAGCGGTCGAGACGAGTACGAGCCGAACCGCGCGCGACATGAGCCTCGAGCCGAACGGTCCAGTTTGAGTCGATCAGAACCAGAGCCGAGGAGCCCGTGAGTGTTGTGTGTTTTACTCTGACTGACTGACTGAGGTTTTACTGTGTGTTTTAACGAACTTTCCCGCACTTCTGGAGTTGTAGAGGGAGTGCTTCAGTTCCGCGGAGGGTTCGCCTTTGTTTAGCAGATTTACGACTCCGCTCTTATTAGATATAGAGAGTCTGTTTTGAGGAATAACTCGAGTGTTTATGAATATTGTGTGTTGTGTATAGCTGAAATATGCGACGCACCCACATCACACACACTCGGTGTTTGCTGGCTGTTTCACATTCATTAACGGTCAATGACGTGTAAGGATTTTCGACAGGGGAATTTTAAAATACGTAAAATAATTGCAGTTGTTCAAACTTTAAGGATGCTGTGAACACATAAATTCACATTATAATGATAAATTAAGCGATTTTAGTGGGTTTTTGTTCAATCTCTGAATTGTACATGATATTTTAAAACTTTACATAACAGAAAAATGACATGACTATTATTGTTTTTTGAAAAGTTAAATGAGTACATGTATGGGAGAGCTGGTAAAATGCCGTAGGCGTCTTGTCATTGACCCAGACTTATCAGACTGACTGATAAGTGGAGACCAATCATACTTAAGATCATAAAAACTGCTCAAACTGCTATATTTTAAAAGCTATTATTATAAAACTCATGAGCGTTGTATTAATTTGATTTAATTTGTATTAATTTGATAGATGGTCAAAACAATGTTCACATTTACTCAAGACACCTCAGGCGAAAATATTGTTTATTTTATGCTTTGGTAAATGTTTTGATTTTTTGTTAAATTTTGCTTCCAGACTAGTGGAGATAAAACAACCATATATATATATATAAATATATATTTAAGTGTTTATTGTATTGCACTTTTGTCTATTTGCATTTGTAGATTTCAGTTACATTGCGTTTTAACGGTCATTATCTCTAAATGAGTTTATCTCCACTTCAGCATTACTCACTTACACTAAAACTTACAGTTATATTCCTATCTATATATTAAAGGTTTTTACTGAGGGGTTTGTTCATATAACATTCACATGATTTTATACAACACGTTATTCCTTGAAACAAATGGTGGAAATGTATGATTTCTGTCTGTTGACAGTATTTTCTGATTTATGGAGTGATAAAAAGAGAAATCGGTAGAAACCTTCAACTCTAATATAACAACAAATTCAGACAATAATTTTCAAAAAGTTTATTTTCTGAAACTGCATATAAGTGAGTGCATATTAGCCTAATTTAAACCTAACATTTCAGAAAACTACAATAAATGCACTATAATAAATCTTTGGAAAGTTTATTAGTCAACATGAAATCAACATTACGAAATATTATAATGATATGTGCATAAATAATGATGTACATGGATTTATAATAAAATGGCAGCATCTTATAACAAATAAAAATGTTCAGTTTTGATGGTGACTTATTATAATTATAATTATGTTTATAGAAATATTTCTACTCAACATAAATGTATTCCAGTGTGTCCAACGTTTGGTTGATGCTGTTTAATATGCGTGCTCGTTTATTATTCATGAGTAAACGAAAGACTCGACACACTTTGAACACCAATGTAAAATATTAAAATAAAAACAAGATGAATGATTGGCAGTGAAAGGCAGCCTGAAAGGATCATGTAAGAGCTTTTATAACATACAGAAACTCAAGTGACGTGTGTGTGTGTGTGTGTGTGTGTGTGTGTGTGTGTGTAGTAGATCTGCTATAAACTCAGTTTTCAGGTGTTTTTCTCGTCTGAATTGTTTGTGGGTTCAACTGCACACATGTTAGTTTCTCTCTCTCTCTCTGTGTGTGTGTGTGTGTGTGTGAGACAGACGGAAACTATCACACTAGTACCTTTGCAGATTCTGCTGCAGTGTGAAATGACTTAAAGTTCACAGAGTGTGTGTGTGTGTGTGTGTGTGCGACAGGCTGCTGAGGGTGTGTCTTTCTCTAGTTACAAGTTCATTACTGTGTTGTTGTGATTCATTTTATCACTCACACACACAGATAACTGAAATCCTCCAGTGTGTTCGGTGTAAGTCTGTGTCTCTCTCTTTCTCACACGCACACACACACACACACACATACACACACAGATACAGTATCTGAAATCCTCCAGTGTGTGTGTGTGTCTCAGTTCTCCTTTCGTCTGCTCAGGAATGTTTTGCTTGGTTTTTATGGTTGATGATGAAACTTCCTCTGTTCTGTCATTCATGGTCCGGCTGAGCTGGAGTGTGTGTGTGTGTGTGTGTGTGTGTGTGTGTGTGTGTGTGCGTGACTGCAGAACATCACCATCATCGATAGCTCAGCTGATACCAGCATATCCATCGTTTTAGTGAACTTTCGTCATTTTATTATTTGTGTGTTTAAAATGTTGCTTTTAGGTGTAATTGACTTTTAATTAATTTCCAGTTAATACTTTTAGTGCTTCAACTTATTAAGTTTTAATTTTTATTTAGTTTTTCATTTTCAACTTTTATTTCAATGTGCAGAAATGCTTTTAATAGTTAATAGTTAGTTAACAACAACACTGTTATAGCTAAAATAACCTGGACATTTTTTTTGTTAAAGGGATAGTTCACCCAAACTGTAAACTCAACCCCATCTTCAGAACACAAATGAAGATATTTTTGATATGAATTATTATATATTAGATGTGTGTGATTTAATCTGAGCGCTGTATCACTCCTCCATAGGCTTCTTGAGTTTGAAACTTGCCGGCCCAGAAAGTTATTAAAGACATCGTTAAAATAGTGCGAGTGACTACAAGTTTATTATGAACTGTTGTTCACTGAACGTGGTTTCTAGTCTGTCACACTTTTGGAGCATTAATTGAAGAAATGCGTGTACACGTCGCCTCTGAACGTCTGTGTGAGATCGTGAGCGACTTCTGCGTGGTAAAGGTTAGCGTGTGTTTCCTGAGCCGACACACTGTTTCACACACCATGAGGAGGATGTTTGTCCTTGTGTGGGTTGAATCTTGGGTATGTGAGATGATAAGGGTTAGTTACGCCGGGGCAGATGATTGACAAGCGCGGCAGCCAATCAGCACGCGTCTGAGCGGATCTGGCTGTGATTGGCTGAGGTGCGGTCTCTCCATCGCAGTGGGAAATGTTTTTCTTGTTTTGAGCTGCGGTCGAGTTACTCCGACGCGAGTGTGTGAGATGGATGGATGATCTCTAGTGTGGTTTTGTGTTAAACATGTTTGTTTGTGGTATGTTGCGTTAGTTGTGTGTGACTTGGCTCAGTGATACTGTAATTTAAAAAAGATCAATCTTATTTCTCAGTCTTTTATTTTAATTAAAGATGTGTATATATCTTGTTTTTTTATGTGCAGGGCATTATTATAACATGTGCTGATTTTAAAAATGAAAAATAACTCGTATTACAGTAACAAAAACAATCAGTGACAATAACAAACTAGTGTTTGGCATGAAAATAATTTCACTGTTATAAATCCGTGTTTATTTTCTTTCAATACTAAATAATCTGTCATTAATGTGAAGAAAAAGATTTAGGCCTGTTTTTAAATTAAATTAATTTATGTCAATTACACGCACATATAAAAATGTGACCATTTTGAATTATAACTGGATGATTTTATTACAATATATATTTAAATATATATTGTAATAATTTATATATAAATATATATATATATATATATATATATATATATATATGTATATCACAAATAAAGGCTATTTTAATGAAATGTATTTTTTGTGCAAATTCTTATAAAAAAAAGATTTAGGACTGTTGTTTATGTACACTATATCAGTTTTATTGTACTGTCTTTAATTTATGCAGATTTAAATAAAGTAAAAATAAATAATTGTATTACAGTTTAATAATAAATGAAAAAAAAAAAAACTCATCAGTAAAACATCCAGATGCAAAATCTGCCTTAAAATGTGTTTATTTGTTATGAAAATGTTGCAAATGCTTATGGTTGTACAAACAGTTCTTCATGCAAATATAATTTGATATCTTTTCTTTTGTGGATCTGATCAGACTGAATCGTTGATTATTCTCTTCTTGTGTTTGCCACAGTAGATCGGATGCTTCAGACCGAAGGTTCGCATCTGCATGACTCCATTAGTGACCTCTGACACGCCAAGGCCCCGCCCCTTCAGATCCCAGCCAATCACATGTGCCGCTGTCTTCCGCGGCCCAATCGCTGTCCGCCACGATGGTTTGCTACGACAACATGAAAATAGAGTTCTTCTACAATCAAAGCATGAAGAACATCAGCGAAACGTGGAGGACGAAAGACATTGTTGTGGTTTCCCTGGGACTTCTGGTTTGTTTTTTTGTAATTTTCGCCAACATCATGGTCATGTTGGCCATCTTCATGAACCGCAGGTTTCATTATCCCATTTACTACCTGCTGGGAAACCTGGCGGCCGCGGATCTCTTCGCCGGCGTCTCCTACATGTACCTGATGTTCCACACCGGCCCGTGGACCATCAAGCTTAGCATAAATCAGTGGTTTGTCCGGCAGGTAAGGCGGTGGTTTGGGCGTGTCTGGGATTGGGGTTTAATGAGTAACTGGTTTAGTAATAGATTCAGACTCATCAAGCTGTTAATTGTTGAATATTCCTGAGTTAAGGACATCTGAAATCTTAAGTGAGGAATTCTGGGAGAAAATATGCTATCTTAGTTTTTATCAAAGTAATTTCCATTTTTCCCAAAAAATAAATAAATAAATAAACAAAGAAAATTAACTAAAAACCACCAAAATAAATATAAATTAGAGCCCGACCGATAAAAGATTTTGAAGGCCGATACCGATACAAATATTTTTGGGTTTTAAAATCCGATATATCGGCCGATATTTTATTTATTTATTTTAAACTGGACATGATAGTCACAAATGTTGTCATGCTTATTTGAGTTAAGAGAACTGATGCGGATGTTCTTTTAATTGTTATTCAAGCAGTATGTATCGTGACCAACTCAACGAGTGTAGAGCGCCCTCTGGTGGACAAACTATACAACTCCAACACTCGTGACATGGTTCAAGCGTGTCTCGTCCGTTTTTATTTTATTTTTGAAATGTTCATTTATCAGCCATTATAACCGCTAATACCGATAGTTTGGAAAATGCCTAATATCGGCCGATAATATCGGTCTGCCGATATATCGGTCTGGCTCTAATATAAATGTATAAAGAGAGCTCAATATCGTCACGATTCCTGTCTCTGATTTTAGTTATTTCCTGTTCCGTGCCATGTTTTGTAGTCCTTTGTAGTTTTTCTGTAACGATGAGGCTAGGATGAACCAGAGAGACAATCCAAATGCAAGCACTATTTTAATAAAATGAACATCCAGGGCAAACAAACATGGAGACAGCTACAAGCAACCACGCTTTAAATACACAGACAAACAAGCTAAACGAGATAACGAGGAGGCTGGGCTAATTAGACACACCTGGGGAGACTCATCAACAAGAAAAACTACAAAACAAGGAACAGGAAATAACTCAAATCCACACAAGATATGAAAAACACAAGAAAGGAATCGTGACAAATATCGTGCTCATGATGGGGAAGTGTAATGTGATTTAGTCTTTTCTAGTGTGAGTAGTGTCTAAAACAAGGAAAAGTGCACACCTGGATAATGCACATAATTCACCGAAAAACCACAGTGTGGAATGTTGGACTGGACTGTCACAGTTTTAATTATATAGAAGAAGAGAAGAGCCAATGCTGCAGGGAAACGTTCTCCTTAAAGTGTGTAGTACGGCATTTAGAAAGCAACTACTAAGGTCCTCTACAGTTATGTGTGTGTCGGTGTGGTCTAATATAGTTATCCTGCCGCTTCCAAGCTTTATAAGGGAAAAGATGCATTGGGACTGGCATTGTGAACTCAATTGGAGTGTGTCAGGACCTACTCATTGTCGTAATGTCGTTTTCCAGCGCTTTGTGTGAACACGGCTGGTCTTTTTCTTTGTGTCTCAGGGTTTGATCGACACCAGTCTGACGGCGTCGGTGATTAATCTGATGGCCATCGCGCTGGAGCGACACCAGACCATCTTCACCATGCAACTGCACAGTAAAATGACCAACCACAGGGTCGTGCTGCTCATCATCAGCATCTGGGTCATCGCCATAGTGATGGGTCTGGTGCCGACTTTTGGATGGAACTGCGTGTGCGACATTAGCGCGTGCTCCACCATGGCTCCGCTCTACAGTCGCGGGTACCTGGTGTTCTGGGCCGTGTTGAACCTGCTGATCTTCACGGTTATGGTGGCCATCTACACGCGCATCTTCATCTATGTGCGCCGCAAGAACCACCGCATGAGCCAGCACACCTCGCAGGTCAAACACAAGGAGACGGTGGTCAACCTCATGAAGACCGTCTTCTTGATCTTGGGTAAGACGGGTCCTCGTTTCTGACCGAATGTGATGCAACACGTTTTCTAACGTCCTCCGTCAAATTCATTGTCATTGTTTATCTATATATATTTATGTTTATCGTTATAATTGTAGTTATTTTATAGATCTGTTATAGTTATTGTTGTTTTATCATTATAACTGTAGTTCTATATAACTAGGGCTGTCGTTAACGCAAACCCATTTTAACGGCGTTAATTTTTTTTATCGCGCGATTAACGGTCTTTTTGTCCTAGCAAACTTCCATTTCGGCGTCTCGCGCTCGTCATCCACTCAAAGCCGGCTCGCAAGCCCAAACGTGTGTTTGCGGCGTGCCTGTTGTTTTGTTTACGGTCTAGCTAGATCCGCTTGCGCTTTGGTCGAAGAAGCAACAAAACGTCCTCGCGCGGCGCAAGCCATTGAAATGAAAGGGTTCAGAGCTAGGGTTGGGTATCGAGAATCGAGTATCGATTGGAACCGAGACTAACTTTTCGTTTTTCCCGGAATCGTTCAAAAGTTAAAATTTCGATTCCTAGTTTCGATATTCACAGTCCGCCGAGCGGAAGAAGAAACCGCTGAACAACACCAACGAAGAAGCGTCTACCGGAAGTGTTGGCATAACCGCGCGAGTCGAACATGAGTAGCTTACGTCGGCGGTCCAAAGTGTGGCTTCACTTTTCTAAAAATAACGAAATCTCGGCAAAATGCAAAATTTGTGACAAAAGGAGTATTTCCTTCAGAAAGGCCGTTGGTTAGCAAGGTTAGCAAACTTATTTGACCCCGCCTCTTAAAAGAATCGGAATCGAGAATCGTTAGGAACCGGAATCGAAACAAAGAATCGGAATCGTTCAAATTCAAACGATACCCAACCCTATTCAGAGCGCAGCGCGAGGATGTTTTGTGCCGCACACACTCGTTTCGGCTTGCGAGCCGGCCAAATAGTAGCGTTACGTTTCGAGTGGATGACGAGCGCGAGACGCCGAAATGGATGCCCTAAAATTCTGAATGGAAAGTTTACTTTTAAAAAGTTGCCAAATTGTCCCTGTGTGTGTTTTGTCGTTGTGAACTGAGCGATCATCATCGCAGCACTTCCAGTCTGAAACACCACTTGATGATGGCCAAGGAAACACACACACAGATGATGCGAATTCTCCACCCCCTCGTCAATATCAGGACCTCATCAGTATTTCCTTCACCCTTTTATTGATAGACAGTGTTACATTATGTGAGAGATTATTTATAAATGTTAGTGTGAAATTGAACACTATTCCAATGTTATTTTCGATACTAAAAAAAAAACATTCGCACTAAATAAGCCGATCCACTTTTCCATGTTGACAAGAGCATTAAAATGAGAAAAATTAATGCAACAAAAAGAAATCAAGAGACATTTAGAATAGATAAAAATGTGCAATTAAATATTTTAATCATTTGACAGCACTATATATAACCATATCTAGGGTTTACAAAGAATGGTGTGTAAAGGGAAAAACATCCAGTATGGGTCAGTCCTGTGGGCCAAAATGCCTTGTTGATGCGAGAGGTCAGAGGAGAATGGGCCGACTGATTCAAGCTGATAGGAGAGCAACTTTGACTGAATAACCACTCGTTACAACCGAGGTATGCAGACAACACACACAACCTTGAGGCGGATGGGCTACAACAGCAGAAGACCCCACCGGGGCCACAATCTGCAAGAGCTCACCAAAACTGGACAGTTGAAGACTGGAGAAATGTTGCCTGGTCTGATGAGTCTCGATTTCTGTTTAGTAGAGTCGTAAAGAGAATGAGAACATGGATCATCATGCCTTGTTCCCACTGTGCAGGCTGGTGGTGGTGGTGTAATGGTGTGTTTTCTTGGCACACTTTAGGCCCCTTAGTGCCAATTGGGCATCGTTTAAATGCCACGGCCAACCTGAGCATCGTTTCTGACCATGTCCATCCCTTTATGGCCACCATGTCCCCATCCTCTGATGGCTACTTCCAGCAGGATAATGCACCATGAATCATTTCAAATTGGTTTTTTTGAACATGACAATGAGTTGACTGTACTAAAATGGCCGCCACAGTCACCAGATCTCAACCCAACAATTGTAGTTATATAGTTCTGGTTATAACTGTGGTTATATAGTTCTGGTTATAAGTGTAGTTATATAGTTCTGGTTATAAATAGTTATATAGTTCTGGTTATAAGTGTAGTTATATAGTTCTGCTTATAAATAGTTATATAGTTCTGGTTATAAATAGTTATATAGTTCTGGTTATAAATAGTTATATCGTTCTGGTTATAACTGTGGTTATATAGTTCTGGTTATAACTGTGGTTATATAGTTCTGGTTATAAATAGTTATATAGTTCTGGTTATAACTGTGGTTATATAGTTCTGGTTATAACTGTAGTTATATAGTTCTGGTTATAAATAGTTATATAGTTCTGGTTATAACTGTAGTTATATAGTTCTGGTTATAAGTGTAGTTATATAGTTCTGGTTATAAATAGTTATATAGTTCTGGTTATAACTGTAGTTATATAGTTCTGGTTATAACTGTAGTTATATAGTTCTGGTTATAAGTGTAGTTATATAGTTCTGGTTATAACTGTAGTTATATAGTTCTGGTTATAACTGTAGTTATATAGTTCTGGTTATAACTGTAGTTATATAGTTCTGGTTATAACTGTGGTTATATAGTTCTGGTTATAAATAGTTATATAGTTCTGGTTATAACTGTAGTTATATAGTTCTGGTTATAACTGTAGTTATATAGTTCTGGTTATAACTGTAGTTATATAGTTCTGGTTATAACTGTAGTTATATAGTTCTGGTTATAACTGTGGTTATATAGTTCTGGTTATAAATAGTTATATAGTTCTGGTTATAACTGTAGTTATATAGTTCTGGTTATAAGTGTAGTTATATAGTTCTGGTTATAAATAGTTATATAGTTCTGGTTATAAGTGTAGTTATATAGTTCTGGTTATAAGTGTAGTTATATAGTTCTGGTTATAAATAGTTATATAGTTCTGGTTATAACTGTAGTTATATAGTTCTGGTTATAAATAGTTATATAGTTCTGGTTATAACCGTAGTTATATAGTTCTGGTTATAAATAGTTATATAGTTCTGTTATAACTGTAGTTATATAGTTCTGGTTATAAATAGTTATATAGTTCTGGTTCTTCAAGTCTTGGAGGCCTCAGGTTAGTAACCCTGAAAATGCTGCAGCTGCACATTAATTCGTAATCAGATAATGTGGTTTGTTTTGTATATCCTGCAGCACTTGTGGAGACACATTATCAGTGGTTTCATCGTGTTTTAGTTCGACCTTAGTTAGCACCCGCGGTCTGAGTGTGTTCAGTAAACTCCTCTTCTGGAGAATAACACACTGCAGATCTGGGGCAGGAAGGCCTGTGCGGGCTCGTCTAACCGGACCTGCGTGTTTTCATTATCTCTCCACACTTCACCCTCCCCGAGAGCGAGCGGCGAGTACGTGCATGTCCTGAGTCTGAGCGCATGTCACGCCCGCTCGCGCTCGCGTTCAGGGAATGTTGACACACACACACTCTGCCACACTTCCTGGAAACTCAAGCTATGTGAAGTCTTGGAAGGATCCCATAAACACACACACACACACACACACTTAAGGTGCTTCCTGAACGTACATCTGAGAACACTCGACTACAGGAAGTGTTGCATTAGCGTCTGAATGCTGCAGCGTTCATCCATAAAGCACATTCAAACATGGAGGGATTAGGCCTGATCATCTTTAGAGTGTTAAAGCAACAGTGTGGGTGGAAGTGATACAGGTTAAGCTTTAGTTTCACTTCACCATTCCTCCTCTGACCGTCCATTATCAAGTCAGCTTTATTTCTACAGCGCTTTGTTCAACACAGATGAGTTCAACGCAGCTTCACCGTGATGAGCAGGACAGGAACAGAATCAAGGACTTCATCAATTATAAGACTCGTGTCCGGCACACACTATATCCACATATCAAAAACTATTTCTGGTGTTTGAATAATTTTAGGTTTGACTGTAATCATTTGCCTGTAAAAATAAAAATAATGTAGTTCAGTTAAAGAACATGCACTACAATTAGCCAAAATGAGAGTTGCCGCGCAGATCAGCAGAGGCCGACTTCATGAATCATGTGATGAGACTGACGAGACGATGGTTTGGTCCCAAAGCGCATATTTAAGAGAGTTTGTGATTGTTCTGAATCTGATTCGTTGTTAAGAATAATAGTGAACCCACCATTCAAGCAATTGCCGCCCGAGCTAGCATTTTCAGTTCATTCCTGTGGAAGCCTTCAATTTCGAAATTGTAAAAAAGTTATTAATTTAGTTCATTTATGTATATAGCCATTCTGGAGTAAACCGTGATGTCATCATGGTGTCAATACAGGAGATCAACAATATTGTTGAATATTAAGTTATGTCCCCAGCTAAGCAAGCCAAGACTCCCGACTAGGGTTGGGTATCGTTTGAATTTGAACGATTCTGATTCCGATTCCTTGTTTCGATTCCGGTTCCTAACGATTCTCGATTTCGATTCTTTTAAGAGGCAGGGTCAAAAAAGTTTAGCTAACCTTGCTAACCAACGGTCTTTCTGAAGGAAATACTCCTTCTGTAAAAATACTCCTTTTGTCACAAATTTTGCATTTTGCCGAGATTTCGTTAATTTTTAGAAAAGTGAAGCCACACTTTGGACCGCCGACGTAAGCTACTCATGTCATGTCGCGGTTATGCCAACACTTCCGGTAGACGCTTCTTCGTTGGTGTTGTCCAGCGGTTTCTTCTTCCGCTCAGCGGACTGTGAATATCGAAACTAGGAATTGAAATTTTAACTTTTAAACGATTCCGGGAAAAACGAAAAGTTAGTCCCGGTTCCAATCGATACTCGATTCTCGATACCCAACCCTACTCCCGACACATCCCTCTACTGCATGTGTGTGACGCTCTGGTGCTCTTCCGCAGGTTGTTTCGTGGTGTGTTGGACGCCGGGCCTGGTTCTGCTTCTGCTGGACGGTCTCTGTGATCACTGCAACGTCCTGACGTACGAGAAGTTCTTCCTGGTGATGGCCGAGTGCAACTCCTTCATGAACCCCATCATCTACTCCTACCGCGACAAGGACATGCGCGACACCTTCAAACGCATCCTCTGCTACCCGTGCCGGTCGTCCCAGCGGACGGGCGAACACTCGGGCGTACGCTTCAACACGCTCGAGCAAGAGGTACTCTCCGAGAGCGACGGGGGCCACAACAACAGCGTCAAACCGCCACTCAAGCGCCCGCTTTAGCACCAGAACTCGCGCGCTACATCTGCGAGAGGCAGCCACGCACTGCGTGATGCTGTAAACATGCCAAAAATGATGTTCTTCTGTTGTAGTTTTGTCTTATTTTCCAGTACAAACATCAAATCATTTTTAAATCAAGATACGTTTAATAGAGAAGCAAAGTTCCTGAAGATATTAAGTCTGAAGTGAGTTTGTGCTTGAAATACAAAATATCGTCGGAAGCTTGTTCACGGCACTGAGTTTAAAAAATATAGAAGTAATTCTGACTTTTTATCTTGCAAAAAAGTGAGAATTGCGAGAAAAAAGTTTGAATTGCAAGTTAAAAAAAAACGATATTGCGAGAAAAATGTCAGAATTGTAGAGATAAACACAATTGTGAGAAAAAAGTTAAAATTGCGAGATAAAGTTAAAATTGCAAGATAAAAAGAATCGCTTTTGCGCGAAAAAAGTAAATTGTGAGATATAAACACAATTACGAGAAAAAAGTGAGAATCGCAATACAAATAAATCACTATTGCGAGAAAGTTAAAATTGCAAGATAAAAAAAGCGATATTGCGAGAAAAAAGTCAGAATTGTAAGATATAAACACAATTACAAGAAAAAAGTGAGAATCGCAATACAAAGAAATCGCTATTGCGAGAAAAAAGTCAGAATTGTAAGATATAAACACAATTACAAGAAAAAAGTGAGAATCGTAATACAAAGAAATCGCTATTGCGAGAAAAAAGTCAGAATTGTAAGATATAAACACAATTGCGAGACAAAAGTGAGAATCGCAATACAAAGAAATCGCTATTGCGAGAAAAAAGTGAGAATTGCAATATAAAAAGTGTGAGATATAAACTCACAATTGCGAGACAAAAGTGAGAATCGTAATACAAAGAAATCGCTATTGCGAGAAAAAGTTAAAATTGCAAGATAAAAAAATCGATATTGCGCAAAAAAAGTCAGAATTGTAAGATATAAACACAATTACAATAAAAAAGTGAGAATCGCAATACAAAGAAATCGCTATTGTGAGAAAAAAGTGAATCGCAATACAAAGAAATCGCTATTGCGAGAAAAAAGTGAATTGCAATATAAAAAAATCGATATTGCGAGAAAAAAAGTCAGAATTGTGAGATATAACCACATTGCGAGGAAAAAAAGTGAGAATTGCGAAAAAAGTGAAAATTACTTAATAAAAGTCTCATTTGCTAAAAATATTCGCAACTGTGAGAAAGTTTCAATTACGTTTTTATATTTTTTTTATTCCAAGCTTCCATAAATATCTGCCAACAGGGTCTGAGAAATGAACTTAAAGACAGAACGAGTGTATTTCTCTGACCTTTTGACAGATATTAGTTTTAAGCCAAAACTCTGTCATGATTTCTCCAGGAACATCTTGATTTAAGAGCGTTTAGATGTTTGAAATCAGTTTGTTGCAGTGAAAGATCTAGAAACATCGTAGTGTTTGTGTGTGTGTGTTCCTTGTAAAGGGCATTTTAGCTTCGCTTCTTGATTTGTACACTAACCGCTACACACACACACAGCTCGACTGCTGAGAGACGCAAATGTCATAACAGCCTGACTGCTACAGCTCGCATGCACACCGTCCGGCTCGCGTGTGTCCGTCCAGCTAGTGCTCGTGTCAACATTGTCAGAAAAAAAGGTACAAAAGCTGTGACTGGGGCGGTACTGCCCCAGTCACAGCTTTTGTACCTTTTTTTCTGAGAGTAAACCTGTGTTTGTGTAAGAGAGAGTGAGAGTGTGTGTCTAACGGCTCTTCTCTTGTGTGTGTGTGTGTGTGTGTGTCTAACGGCTCTTCTCTTGTGTGTGTGTGCAGAGGAGACGGCGTGTGCTGCAGGACTCGTGGGTCGTATGTAGACTTGCTTGCTTTTAAATCCTCTCGATCAGACTCTAATCACTCGATGTCTAACATCTGAACTCTGATTCACTCTGAGATTCTCCGTCACTAACACACTCACACACACACACACACACTAACCGCTCCGATGGTCATGTGATCTGAGTTGTACATGCGTCGCTCCTTCTGCACGCAGTCACTGAGCAGCTTGGGGTTTTCATCACTGTTTTTATCTTCTCAGTTCCAGTAAACCGTGTGTGTGTGTGTGTGTGTGTGTGTGTGTGTGTGTGTGTGTGTGTGTGTGTGTGTGTGTGTGTGTGGTTCTGGCTAGCAGATGTGCCGCGCTCACTGCTGCAGGCGTGTGTGTGTGTGTTAATCAAGTAAATATTTGCACATGTGTCACTGTCGCGTGCATAAAACATTGCACGCGAACACACACACACACACACACACACACACACACACACAGGTGGTTTTAATCGTGTTACTTCAGCTCTAGCACATGCTGTACTAACCAACCATTGCATGTTTCCCATCATGCATTTAAACACACTCAAAATGTCCCTGGTTTGTAAATGGGTGTTTTCAAGCTTTTGACGGTTGTATTGTACGTTGTGTGTGTGTGTGTGTGTGTGTGTGTGTGTGATCGGAGTCTCTCATCTGAGGGAATCTCATCACATCTCACACCTCTTCTGTTACAGCGTTATTAATATTACATGTGCATAACTAATGTTAATAGCTTTTGATCTTAAACATGTTTGTGAGTTCATGAGTGTCAGCCGTGTGTTCTTGATCCAATCATGTGTTTTTAATCGACCAATGAGACGCACACTCTGATATCTTGTTCTTGCGTTCTGATTGGCTGTTTGTGATTGATGTTTTGGATGATGATTATCCAGACACGCGCTGATGACAGTGGCGTGTGTGTGTGCTCGCTCTCGTCTGCGATGATGTCTGGTGATGTTAATAAAGGTGCTTCCAGAGCTTCTGTCTGTGATCTTCATGTTCAGCGCTTCGCCATTGCATTAATGAGATCTCCCCAAAGCGGACGCATGCGGAAACTGTTGTAGTGTGGACCGGGAAACCGGACGTGTTTGAAAACGATGGCGTAAGTTTAGATGTTTATAGCGGTATCCAGCCTGTCCTGCACACACACTCGCATCTGCTGAACACGAGCCGTGTCAGACGGACCGCCAGTGAGCCAGAAGAGTCCTGCCATAACGTGATGATTAATCCTTCGGTTGATTAGTTGTTCACCTAATTAAATACCTCGGGTTGTGTTTCTTCTAATAGGGTTGATAAATAAGCAGATCCAGCACTGTAAGCAGTCGAGCTCTCCTTCCATGAAATGCGAAATACCTCTAGTTTAGTTTTCAGTTACCAACTGTAATTCACTGGAGGAGCCAGGACATGTTTAAGATACCTCAGATTGTGTTCGTTTGACAGAAGAGTGTCATATACATCTAGTAAATCATGGGCTAATTTGAACTTTGGGGTGATCATGCCTTTAAAGGGTTCAACCCCGTAAGACCTTCGTTCATCTTCGCAACACAAATTAAGATATTTAAGATATTAAGATCGCTCCTGCATACTAGTCCATAGACTTCTTGAGGGAATGACTTGAAAAGTCATTAAAGACATCGTTAAAATAGTCCAAGTGACTACAGGGGCTCAATCTTAACTTTATCAAACGACGAGAACACTTTTGTGCGCAAAAATAAGGACTTTATTTCAACTATTGGTTTATTTCTCCCTCTGCGCGAGTCAGGTTACTAGTTTAATAGCGTAAGCTTCTGTTATTGTACGTCACACGCATCATCACACACATGACCAGCGTCGGCCAATAGTGAGCCTTCGTGTGACGTAGCTTTACGCAATCACACTACGTTAACTGACTACAGGCCCATGGAGAAGGAAGTGAATAGTTGAAATAAATTCGTTATTTTTGTTGTTTTTTTGCGCACAAAAAGTGTTCTCGTCGTTTGATAAAGTTAAGATTGAGCCCCTGTAGTCACTTGGACTATTTTAACGATGTCTTTAATGACTTTTCGAGTCATTCCCTCAAGAAGCCTATGGACTAGTATGCAGGAGCGATCTTAATATCTTAAATATCTTAATTTGTGTTGTGAAGATGAACGAAGGTCTTACGGGGTTGAACAACATGAGGGTGAGTAAATACTGACAGAATTTTTATTTTTGGCTGAACTAACCCTTTAATGTAGACGTAACATTGGGGTGCGTTTAGACCGGCGGATCGTCTCCGTTTGGTCCGAGAAGCGTCCCCGTCCTAAAGCAGTCTGGGAGGATTGATTGATTCTGGGATCTGTGGCTTTAAGCACGTCTTCGGTTGCCTTTCCTTCACGTCTGCTTGGGTGTGAGGTCATCTGTGTGGAAAGACTGCTTAACGGTGATTTGCAGCCAGTGTTTGTCGGCTCTTTGTGTCTCAGGCTCGCAGGGCTCGTGATGGAGGTGGAGGACCGGAGAACGGAGGACCGGTGAACGAAGGGAAGGTGGTGCTGAATGACGCAGAGAAGATGCTGGAAGACTCTGAGAGCTGAGCCACGATTGGCTGAACGAGCTGTCAATCAATCCCTCTCAGTGCGTTTCTCTGAGCATCAATGAAGAGACTGTGTGTGTGTGTGTGAGCTCAAACTGTGAATGAATTGAGTGTAAATATAGTTTTTATTTTATTAAAGTCTTACTGGTGGAGTTTATACATGGTTTTGTGTTTGATTAAACACACATTAATTGTGCATCAACGTTTGAGTTCACACAAAAACTGGTGTAATTGTAGTATTTTCGATGCCACAACAAAAACTAACACAAACATGCTCTTCTGTTTAACAATATTAATATTAGAACCAGAGCTGGGCAACAATTAACATCCAAAGTAAAACTGTGTGTAATTATTTTGTATATAAATACACACAGATACATTTTAGAAATAGTTGCTTGTATATACTGTCTATAAATAATTTATTTATATATTAATATTGTATATATAAATGACATTTTTCTTAAATGTATGCATGCAAGTGTGTGTATTTATTTATACACAGTACACACGTGTAATGCAAACAGTTTTATTTTGGATGTGATTAATTGCAATTAATCGTTGCCCCGCACTTATTAAAACAAATATTAACAGCCTAAATTATAACAATGGCATAAAGTCTTTAGATATTTCTCACTTAAATAAGCATTGTGTCATGTTTGAAACATTTTTAGCAATGTACTAAAGCATACTAGAAATATAACCATCCTAAATCGTTAGAATCATAGCAACATCTTAAAACATGTTAGCGGTGTGTTAAATCATGCTTAAAAAACGTGTTCAATTATGCTAACAATGTGCTAATTCGTTCTAGAAACGTGTTAACAACTAATTAAAACACCTTAGCAACAATATCTCTGTTTGTTTTTTTCTGATAGACTATTCAAACTTTAAAACTACTTTAAACTTCGAGCTTTTAAATCGAGTTCACTTCCTGGTTCTTCTCTTTTTTTTTTTTATTGAATTTCAAGAATTACAATTACAGTCAGGGGTACATTGAACAGACTAAATAATAATAATAATAAAAAAAACATGAAAAGACAAAACAGTGACAAACTTAAGTTAAACAAAAATGTGAAAATGTTTACATATAGATACACATTTTGCAGCTTTCTTATTTTTCAAACCCAGTATTTTTTGCAGATATTGTTGAGTTTCTGCTTTTTCCTGGTTCTTCTCAAGCCTGCATCAAAGTTTGCCTTGACGCGTCAGTTTGGCGCATTCCTCTATAAATGTAGGGTTGCGCTCTTTTATTGTCGAATCATTCTATAATTTAGATGAGTCAAGCTCTGAACATGGATTATTATGAAGTGATGAAACACGAAGGTCCGGTTGAGTCGGGTCATCTGGAGCTCGACTGGATCTGGGCGCAGGACCTGATGATGTCAGCGATGACGTGTTACACTCTTAAAGGGACACTCCACCCTTACCAACTTTTTTATAGGTAATGATCTCTAAGAATGGGTTTTTTTCAATGCTGATAATTGATTAGAGTAACTTTTTTGACATTTGGGTATAAAGTGTTTTATATGGTGTAAAAACGTCTTAGTGCTTCAGGTTGAACGGTGGCTACTGCAGTTGAATTTTCCTATTGGATGTTTGCGGTTCTTTGTGACGTACGCAGGTCATTGGTACGAGCTTCTATGATAGAAGGAATGGATGGATATTTCACTTGCCATTTCTGACTGGCTGTCGGCCATCTTGGTTTGGAGAAAACATATTCCACATACAAAGGCTGATGTGTCATCTAAGCCTCCACTAGTGACCTCTATACGTGAAAGGATTCATATTTGTTGAGAGAAAATATAATCGGAGCACTGTTTTTAATTGTCTTCATGATGTTGTTTTTAATTGATGAACGTTGAGAAAACGTTCTGGGAACAACATCCTCGGAATGCTGACAGACATTGCAAATGTTACGAATAACGTTCATTATATTACTGTTATCTGCTGAATGTTAACGTTATGGTCTCGGAATATATTCGAAAGAAAATCTCGAAGAATGTTATATTGTGAGTAAAAATAACCCAGACAGCAAACTGACATTGAATCAACGTGGAAATGACGTCTCTCATGATCTGGCATTGTTTTGCTCATCGAATTAACGTTGAACCAACGTCAGACGCGGCATTTTTCAAAACTAAATGAAAATCGAAAATTGGTTTGCTTTCATAACGTTGAAACAACGTTGATTACAAGTTGATTTTCCGTTAGTTTTGAAAGAATGACGCGTCTGACGTTGGTTCAACGTTAATTCGATGAGCAAAACAATGTCGAATCAACGTTGTTTCGGAGTCATGTTTCCACGTTGATTCAATGTCAGTTTGCAATCTGGGAAGGTCATTAGAATGTTGTATTAACATTAAAGTTCTAATCACGACAAGAAACATTTTAACGTCTTAGAAACTGCGCATCACAACGTTTTTTAGATCATAAATTTGTTAGCTGTGGAAGTAAACAAATCGTTGTGTTGATTCTTGGATCAAGAACGATTATTTCCTGGTGGAGAATCTCTTCTGCAGCTCTGACATCTTCCGGCCGTCGCCTAGCAACAGTTGCTTTGGAGACAGCGATGCTCTTCTGTTGTTGCCGAGCGGCAGCGCCAACACCTTCTTCTTCTCCTTCTTCTTCTTTTTCTGCTTCTCCTTCTTCTTCTTCTTCTTCTGCGGAGAGATCGCCCCCTGGAGCGCCTCCCAGGTCATGACGGGTCTCACGTCGGATCCAGATCCCGACTTACGGGTCTTTGAGGAGGATACACCCATTCCAGCCTGACTGAGAATACACACACACTTTTTTTAGTTTTTTGCGTTCAAATTAATATACCCTATGTATTATTATTGTAAATATTACGTCACTCTGAAACACTCTAAATTAGTACCCAGATAGCAAACTGACATTGAATCAACGTGGAAATATGACATCGAAACAACGTTGATCTGACATTGTTTTGCTCATCGAATTAACGTTGAACCAACGTCAGATGCGTCATTCTTTCAAAACTAACGGAAAATCAACTTGAAATCAACGCGTTGTTTCAACGTTATGAAAGCAAACCAATTTTCGATTTTCATTTAGCTTTGAAGAATGCCGCGTCTGACGTTGGTTCAGCGTTAATTCGATGAGCAAATCAACGTTGTTTCAATGTCATGAGAGACGTTGTTTCCACGTTGATTCAATGTCAGTTTGCTGTCTGGGTAATGAGTTTTATTCATCTGCAATTCGTCCAGGACGTTTCCTGTTAGATGTCACATGGAAAAAAAAATGATTGTGATTTTAACGGTAAAAGTCCGGTTAACAATTGGTTAATAGTTGGTTAACAGAAAGTTTCCGTACCATATATGGTGAATAACTGTGAATAATTTTACAGTAAAATACCGTTATGTTTACAGTTTTTGGACATGAAGAAGAAAAAGCCATTGGATAATATTAGGGCTTGGGCGCCGCGTTGCATTCTGGGACGTGGCGGCCATGTTGGAGGCTTCGCAAATGTAAACATAGGCTACCAGCAAATCGAATGAGGAGAAGCAGCTGAGTTGGGAGAAAGAAAATAAAAAAAGATGTTAAAATACCCAAAATGATGCGGAATTTACCGGGATACGTTTAATAGGGAAACCAGGGACCGGTATGTGGATAAAACGGCACTTTTAACGGGTTGGATCCATTTGAAATTTCCAACAAACAGTTGGAGCACAGTACGTTACGCTAACCGGACAAAGGTAAACTGCGCTCCACCTAGCTGCTAGTTTAGTGACTATCAACCATTCACACATGTAACATTCTTTTAACTATGTGTTTCAGACGTGTAGTTAGTAACGTTAGCTGTTTTAAGCACTTAAACTTAAGTTAGTAAGCAAAACAATGCTTAAAGCAAGAGGGTAACGGTTTAGCAACAGGACAACAGAGACTGACAGGTCCGATTAAAGGGCTAATGTTAATGTTATGAGAATATTAAAAAACGGGATATTTTACAGGAATATACTAAAACGGGAAGACAGCGGGAAAAGAGATCAAGTACGTGAGAAACCCGATAAAAAACGTGAGGGTTGACAGCTAACGTTATCTGTCCGGATTACCCTGTTCCCACTGTTTGCCGACTCTTTGTTGGAAATTTCATATGGATCCAAACCGTTAAAAGTGCCGGTTTAGTCCACATACCGGTCACTGGCTTCCCTATTTAACATATCCCGGTAAATTCCACAACCTTTTAGGGATTTTAACATCTTTTTTGTTTTATTTATCCCAACACTGCTGCTTCTCCTCGTTAGACTTGCTGTATGTTTACGTAAGCCTCCAACATGGCCGCCACGTCAGTAATGACGTCATGATGCCCAAGCCCTATTTACAGTGAAAAAACTTAAATTGACATCCTCACAATTCCCTGCGTGACACTTCACATTTGATATATTTTGCTGAAATAACTGTTTCTTCATAGTTTTTCCTAATCTGTTGCATGTTTTGAATGCCGTGTGTCACCATGATGGTGTTCAGTGTGTGTGTGTGTGTGATCTGTGAATCAGCGCTAAACAGATATTAGTTCTTCACTATGTCAGTAAATTAACATCAGATAATGAATCAGATAGATTTTTTTTACTGTAAATTTAAGTTGGGTCTGTTAAACGTATAAATAAATAAATATTGCTTCCGTAAACAGATGCAAGGCCACAGATGCTGTTTTTTTAACGTAAATATAATGGATTTTTTTCACAGTGTATAGACAAAATAAGATTTACAATTTAGCTATGTAAAACTGTCTTTTCTAAGATGTTTATCAGATGTTTTTACACGGCAGATTCTCCCAGATTATCCGATCTTTAGCAGATATCTTACACGCACCTGTGCTATCAATGTCAATGAGGAGCACAGACTGGAAAACTGTTCAGCGTTTCTTTACTGTTGGTGTGTGTGGCGTCCCGGTGTCCGTGTGTGTGTGTCCGAGTCCCTGAGTGAAGAGCGAATAACAGATCCCGAGACATCAGAGTCACAGCTAATGCATCTAAACTAGGGCTGAGAGTGCTCTGGTTTCAGTGTGTGTGTGTGTGTGTGTGTGTGTGTTTACTTCATCTGAAACGGGTTACTCTGCATTTCCAGCTGAACTCTCTCGTCTCATCGCTTCAGGCGAGTGTGTGTGTGTGTGTGTGTGTGTGATTGTGGACGGTCCCTGTAAACTCCTGAACTTACACGCACTGTTGATGTTCATTACATGTAGCTTAGCGCCCTCTGCTGGAGGAGTGTGTGTGTGTGAGGTGTTTCTGTGTGTTTCTTTCTTTCTTTCTTTCTTTCTTTCTTTCTTTCTTTCTTTCTTTCTTTCTTTCTTTCTTTCTTTCTTTCTTTCTTTCTTTCTTTCTTTCTTTCTTTCATACGCAAGAAAATGCTTGTTAAATGGTTGTCGACTGAGACTCTACGAAAGGGTTCATATTTCGCTTTCTTATGATGTATAACGCTGTTTTTATTGTCTGTGTGACGTTGAGAATGGTTGGTTTCATTTTCTTGTAATATTACAAATTACAGTTCGAAGAATGTCTGAGTTTGAATCACGCTAAGAAAACTGAGTCTTAGAAACATTGCGAATCATCTTTCTTTCTTTCATTCCTTCTTTCTCTCTCTCTTGGTTCTTCTGTAGCCCCGCCCTCTCGCGTGTGATTGGCCGCGGCGGGTTTGATTGACAGCTGCAGCAGGACACCTGACGCGCGCGGCGCACGGGGATGATGGGCGGCTCCGGGATGCGGTTCTCTCGGTGACACGGACATTAGACGGAAGAATGACACTGTAAGACTCGCGTTTTCGCTCGTCATTTGATGTCGTCTCCGGTAACGCGTCCTCGCGCCGCGTCGCGCATGATGGACGCGTCCGCGGTGAAGAAGAGCGCGCCGGTTCCGGACCTCTGCCCACTGGACCGGTACGACCCCACCCGAGCCAAGACCCGGGCCAGTGTGAGCTGGATCCTGAGCCGGGGCCCTGGAGGTAAACCTCAGTGTGTGTGTGTCTGTGTGTGTGTCTGTGTGTGTGTGTGTCCGCAGCATCAGCACCATCAGCATCCGCGCGCGCTCCCACAGCTGGTTTAACAGCGGCAGAGGGCCTGTGTGTGTGTGTGTGTGTGTGTGTGTGTGATGAGGGCGTCACCGCGGCTTTACGCGTGATTCAGCGGTTGACTAAAACTGTGATGAAGCAGCAGCTCTAACACACCTATGACACAATCGCCACGAACCCCAAATATCAACACACACACTGACACATGGAAATGTCTTTGTTTTGCACGTGCACGCGCGCTCGTAGCAGGAGTTTCAGAGCGTCATTGTCTGAAGCGGCCCGGTGCGTTTCGCGTGTCCATTTTCTGTAATGTATTTATTGTTAAAGAATGTCTTTAATGTGTGTTAACACTAACACAGCATATGTATTATTATTATTATACGTCACTCGGAAATACTCTAAACTGGTCAATCGCAGCATTCAGTTTTGAGTCTTCTGTCTTTGTAAAATCCTTCAGTCCGTCCTCCGGCATGATGAACACAGGGGTAATGACCAGAGCTCTGTCCAGAAACCCTGAGACTAACGCTTGACTGAAGACACTCGGATGTGGGTCAGGGGGAGTGAAGCTGTTAGTATAGACCACTGAACACACATATAATGTAAATATATGAAAATATTTTAGAATAAAAATACTTCAGTTGAAATTGATCAAAATTAAAACACCATATTCTGTTAAAAAATGTACAAATACAATAATTTTATTTTGAAAGAATATGAACAAAATACATGTGGGTTATTGGTTACACTGCAGCCTATCACTGTGCTGAACACTATAAGCCCTGAGTGTGTGTGTGTGTGTGTACATGTCAAGTCAAGTCTTCTTCATTCTACAGTGCATTTAACAACATAGATTACTCCACAGGAGATTACAGTCACAGAGTGTTTACAGCTGATCTAGAATAAAGTTACTGTCCAGATGAAGTTAGTTTTGATTGATTCACTTCCGTCACAACGATCACGACACCGCTCCACAGAAAACTCTCAAGTTGTCTCTACAGACACTTCAGGACTGCGGAGTCTAATGGGCCAGTGCAGGGTTGACAGAACCGGGCTAATATGGTCATACTTCCTGGTTCTGGTGAGAACTGGAGCGGCTGTGTTTTGGACCAGCTGGAGTTTGTTTATTAAGCGTGCGGGACAACCACCCAGTAGAGCATTACAGTCATCTAGTCATGAGGTCATGATGTGTGAGTGTGTGTCCTCAGACTCAGGATGTGGGTCAGTGTGTGTGTGTGTGTGTGTGTGTAAAGTCAAGTCACATTTATTTAGTATCTTTGACAGAAAAGGCAGGTTTGAGATTGGCCTGTAATTGACTAATTCTGTACGATCAAGTTGCGTTTTTTTTTAGCAATGAATGAATGAATGGAGTGTAGACGGTTGCAGAGTTTCAGTTTCTCCCTGATATTATCAATCTTATAAGTGAAGAAGGTCATAAAGTCGAAATGTCAGAAGTAAGCTTCTTTTCTAATTAATGTAGCCACTGTGTCTATTAAATACCTCGGGTTGTGTTTGTTTTCTTCTAATAGGGTTGAGAAATAAGCAGATCCAGCACTGTAAGCAGTCGAGCTCTCCTTCCATGAAATGCGAAATACCTCTAGTTTAGTTTTCTTCAAGTTGCGCTCCATGTTTCTGGCTGCCCTCTTAAGGGCCCGAGTGTGTGTGTGTGTGTGTGTAGAGAGTGCTCCCGCTGGGCTCGATCCGGCCGGAGGAGTGTGTCCCGCTGTAGAGCGCCTCCTGCTGTCCGCGGATCTGTACTGCAGTGTGTTCTCCTCATCCGCTCTGGCCGGCGTCACAGCGCCCCCTACAGGCCACGACTCTCTCCTGCAGCTGCTCGACCGCTACGGCCTGATCCCGCTACACACACATCGGCAGGAGCCGGTCACTGCCGCGCAGCTGAGTCACACACCCATCGACATGGTGAGTGAAACACACACTAGCTGTGTCCGAAATCGCTCACTCGTTCATTCACTAATTGTGGCTGCTTTACCCTCTGGGGCAAAAATGACAGAATTGTTTTTTTCATTGAAATGAAATGAATGTACTATATTTTAGTCCGATAATGTTTTTTATTTCATATTTTGTATTTTTAGAAGATTTTATGGTACTAAATTATATTTATGCTGTGTTCATAATCCGTTTATTTACTTTTTGAGCATAGACCTGAAAATTAAATATCCATCTTAAACTGTCGTATAGCTTGAATGCTTTAAAGCGACAGACTTAAGTTTGATCTATTTTTAAAGATGACGCTTGGCAGATTATTGCTGAAGTGAAAAAAAGTTTTACAAAGTGAACGTTAAAAAATGACAGAATTTTACGTTTATTGTTATGAAAAATGTGCACAAATACTATTTAAATTTTTTATATGAAACATATATTTTCAAAAACTCTTTCACTCTAAAACGGTAAGAAAATCAAAGCCAGAAATCTAAACAGGTTGTTGTTGGACATGGTGAGGGAACGACACACTGACTCACTGCGAGCGTGGGATTCGATTGGCTGACGGATGTGTGTCTGTTCTCTGATTGGTTGCAGGGGGCCCATCTGGCCGTGATTGATGCGCTGATGTCACTGAGCGCCATGGAAACAGTGGGTCGGGTCAAGATGTCGAAGGACACGGATCAGTTCGGGGCCGACAAGAGCTGGGAGAACGCTCTGCTCTTCTGGATCAACAAGGTTCCTAAAGCCACAAACACAAGTGGAGTGAAACCGGATTCAACTGTAGTGTGAACGCGGCTAATAGCATCTGAAAAGATTAAGGCTTGACAAAACGTTTTTGTTTACCTGTAAAATGCATTGCAGAACGTTCACTGAGAAACAAACACACCACAGAGTCAGAAGTGGAGTGAAACCGGATTTAATTACAGTGTGAACGTGGCTAATAGGATCTGAAAAGATTAATTTTATAGAACAGAAAGATAAAGGTTTGACAAAACTTGACAAAAAACTTATAAAGTGCCTTATAAAGCATAAACTTCTCTTCTGGATCAACAAGGTTCCTCCACCTAGAACCCTAAAGCCCGATCTAGAGTCACAAGTGGAGTGAAACCGGATTCAATTGCAGTGTGAACGCGGCTAAAAGCATCTGAAAAGATTAATTTTACAGATCAGAAAGATAAAACTTGACAAAAACTTATAAAGAAACTTAAACTGGACGCATTACAGGGAAACGACACAAATAAAACACCAGACAATAGCTGTGTTTCTATCCACCTGTTTTTATGTGACTTTTGGGATAGAAATATGCCGGACGGAAATGCCAAGATGCGCATAAATTAAAAATATTGCTTAAAAATCCTTTTATTGAGGTGGACATTTTTTAATCTGATAAAAGATGTGCATAAACTACGATGGAAACAAATTTACCAAACAAACCCATGTGACTTTGGCTCAGCGTCAGCTGTGATTGGATAACCGGAGTAGCCAGTGGACCAATGGCGTCGCAGCGTCTCTAAACTGCTTGATTTCTTGTGCAGGTCAATCAGAAGCTGCGGGAAAACGCTGATGTTGAAGAGAATCCGAAACCAAACACCTGTACTGACCTGCAGCCTGCTGTGAGTGAACACACACACACACACACACACACACTCAGTCTGTTACTGATGCTCGTCTCTCTCTCTGCAGTGTCCACAGCGCTGGTACTGGAAACTGGTTCCAGTGAGTATTACACCTCTGTCAGTCTCATCATGGATATTACATCAGTGTGTGTGTGTGTGTGTGTGTGTGTGTGCTGACGATGACGAACCCCACAGTAGTGCCTTACTCTGACTGACTGATGTGTACAGTAGCGTTCAGAACTCAGTTGATTGACATGTGTGCTCATAAAGATCCAGCCAATAGGAATCAGGGGGTGGGCATCCAGCTTTGTCCCCGCCCCCTTTTTACTTCTGTTTGTCATGTGACTGTGTGTGACTCTGGTTGCCGTAGCGACGACCCCTGGACATTGACCCGTGTGCTCTCTCTGCCATAACGCACCCAGCATGCCATCGCATTTTGTTTGAAGGAGTCGGGGAATAAACCTCCTGTGGTAACGTATCCGCCCGCCTCCTGTCTCCATCACACACACACACACACACACACTCTGCATGATGTCATCACTGTCCTGTCTCAGATCTCTGCAGGAAACACGTGCTTTTTGTAGTTTCACTCTTTGCTTTTGCACATAATTGAGTTTTTCTTCCAGTTATTTTTCCCACTGCTGGACTCTGGATGCGCTTCAACACACATATATTCACACACTTACATCAGTGATCGTTCTTCCTGTGTGTGTGTGTGTGTGTGTGTGAATCTCATGAAACCTGTCAACATTTCCCATTTTATTACTCATGTCTTTATTACTGTGAAGCTGCTTTGAATCCATTTAAAGTGCTGCATTTAGAGTAACACGGATTTGTGGGGAAAAATGTTACAATTCAAACCACCTTAATGTACAACATCATTAATGTGACCTAGACATGTTACATGAGATTATATGTGTTCTTGTTTCTGTTGTACACAGTAGCTGCCTCATGGTGGCTTTGCTTCAGTGTGTGTGTGTGTGTGTGTGTGTGAACAGCTCTCTGAGAGCGACTCTGCACGCTGACATTCACTCGATGATCTGAGTCACTGAAGGACTGATGAGTTCTGATGCACATTCAGTGATAGTGTTGTTGAGTCACTGAGTCAGAATAAAAGTGAATCTGATTCTGTATGTTTGTGTTGCTGTTTCCCTCCCTGCTTTCTTTAACAGTCTTAAATGGTCTGTCTTTTATCTTTTGAGCACTTCTGAGCCGTTTTCCTGCTCTCTGTGTATCATCTCAGATCCGTTACAGGAAAGATAAGGTTCAGTCTAAAGAGACTCCGGTGTTCGTGGTGGTGTCGGGAGTGAAGGATCTGTCCAACGGATGCGCCATCGCTGCTGCGCTTCACTTCTACTGCCCTCAGATTCTGCCTCTGGAGGGTAAAACACAGAAACCCTAAAGGAAACTCTGCAGATTTTTAGAAATGTAACTCACTTCTCTCTGCTTCTCTCTGTAGATGTGTGTTTGAAGGACACCATGTCCACGGCAGACAGTATGTACAATCTCCAGCTGATCAGACAGTTTTGTGAAAGTCACCTGAAGAGCTGCTGCCCCCTACAGGTGGAGGATTTACTGTATGCCCCGCCCACTTTACAGGTGAGATACGCCCGCCTACTTTATAGGTGTAACATGCCCTGCCCACTTTACACGTGAGATATGCCCCGCCTACTTTACAGGTCTAACATGCCCCACCCACTTTACAGGTGTAACATGCCCCGCCCACTTTAATGGTGAAATATGCTCCGCCTACTTTACAGGTGTAACATGCCCCACCCACTTTACAGGTGAAATATTCTCCGCCTACTTTACAGGTGTAACATGCCCCACCCACTTTAAAGGTGAAATAAGCTCCGCCTACTTTACAGGTGTAACTTGCCCCGCCCACTTTAAAGGTGAAATATGCTCCGCCTACTTTACAGGTGTAACATGCCCCACCCACTTTACAGGTGAAATATGCTCCGCCTACTTTACAGGTGTAACATGCCCCACCCACTTTAAAGGTGAAATAAGCTCCGCCTACTTTACAGGTGTAACATGCCCCACCCACTTTACAGGTGAAATATGCTCCGCCTATTTTACAGGTGTAACATGCCCCACCCACTTTACAGGTGAGATATGCTCCGCCTACTTTACAGGTGCAATATGGCAAAAATTGTGCTTGTTCATGGACAATTATTAAAGGTACTCAAGGCCGTGCTGTATGGGGAATAAGTCACAGAAGATGAGTCAGCCGTTACTTATTACCACACAATACAAATATTAAAGCTGAAATATGTAACCCTCATGAAGTAAAATCACCAAAAGCCTTTTTTTCCCGCCGTAAACGGCAACAGAAGTTACATACATTGTTTCGGCATCAGATCGCCGATCTTTATGAGTGAGTCAGTCAGTAGAGAAGCTAAGAGTGGTTGTGTAGTGATATATACTAGAACCGTTGGGTGAAGTGGTCGTAGTCGTGTTTTCTCGTGAATAAAACACAGCTATTGACCAATCAGAATCAAGGATTAGAATGAACCATTTTATAATTTGTAATAATGGTTAAAAAAAAACAATATGTAAGAATTTTCTCTTTGACCCCAAAGGTGAACATCATGTGCTTCCTTTCTGAGCTGTTCGCCGCCTTCGAAGTGGATAAACCAGATTTCGTCAAACCCACACACACACTGGACCTAACAGGTAGAAATAAACATACATAAACATACGAGCGGACACAAAAACACACAGATCCTACAGGAGTTCTGTCTTGTGTTACAGATGCATCTGATCTGGTTGACTGCACGAGTCCGATCAGTGGCAACAGGTAAGCGCTCCTATCAAAACACTCACATTATGTTAGCAGACTCTTTATGTTGAACTGCATCATGGGATCTGACGTTTTTCTTGTAGTGGCTCCCCTTCTTTCCTTCTGAAGCAGTCGCTCCTGCCTCAATCCCCCTCGGTGTCCGGTAAGAGCTTTCTGCAACCTGTGAGATTTGTGGTACTTGTAGATCTTGCTGTGTGTGGCATTGTCTTGTTTTAAGGGAATATTTGAAATGTGGAGTTTGTAATCTCAGTTTGGGTTTAGAGTAGACTACAGGGTATTTTCTTTTGCAAATGAACAGCCAGAACACATTAAAGGTTTTCTGTTTTCGGTTAAAACGGTGTCGTGTAAGCGGCCCCTGAGTTAATAACTAATAATCTTTACAACGGAAGTGAATCAATCAAAAACTAACATTAGCTGGACAATAACTTTATTCTAGAGCTGCTGCAAAGCCAAAACAATCTCTGTTACTTTTGTTTACTATTATCACCGTAAAGCTGCTTTGAAACAATCTGTATTGCTAAAAGTACTATATAAAGGAAGGTGACTTGACTTGTTGGATTTGTGGTTTGATATTTTAAATTATGCCCTTTGTGAACTAAATTATTAATTTTACATTTGTTGTTTTATAGAAGGACGGGGCTGGAGCAAAAAGCAAATTAGGTATGTCCCTCCTTCAGTTCCAGAAAGTACATCTTATCTAATTTTTATTATACAAATTCTACTCTTAATAATTCATTCATTAATTCAATTTATATAACTTTACCTTCATCAAGCACTATGAATCTTGAGTAATTTTCACTTTCTCTGTCTCAGCCGCCCCCTCTCGGCCGTATCCTTCAGCATCCCATTCCCACTGGACAGTGATGTTGATGTTGTAATGGGGAACCCTCTCTACCGTTCCGTCAGCACGGACAGCCTCACTAGGGTAACCGACCCTGGCTCTTACACGCCCCCTGAGGATCTGAGTAAGCTCATTGGTCAAGCTCCTCTAGGAGAGTTGCCTACCATAGAAGAAGGTTTACAAATCATTCATACTGGCCGGCCGGTACACAACGAGCCTCGTATGCGGCCAGAGGGGGCGCCGTCTGGCTTTTACCTCCACTCGCCTGAGGAGGGTGGAGCCAGACTGAGCAGCTCTGCCCCATGCCGGACTGGGATGATGCATCGACCAATGGGAGGATGGATTAATAGCAGCGGGAACCAAAAACGGCAACCTGTAGGTTCACAAGAACACAATGTAGGTTTAGAGTGTGACACACCTGAAAACTCCCCCAAAACCTCCTCCAGTCCAGCCAACGGACCCAAGAGTGGTCGCATGACAAACTTTGCTGAACGCAGGAAGATGATGCCAGAATCCCCAAGTAACTCCAGGTCCCAGGAGGTAGTGTCGTTGTGCAGCCCCGCAGAGATGAGCCCTGTTGGGGCAGTGGAAGCGCAGGAACTGGGAGCACGTCTAGAGGAGAAACGCAAAGCAATTGAAGCACAAAAGAGGCGGATTGAGGCCATCTTTACCAAGCACAGGCAGAGGCTGGGCAAAACGGCTTTCCTTCACCTCCAGAAGAAACAAGGGGAAGAAGTGGGAGACGACGGACAGTCCCTTACCCTTGATGAACGACTGACACAAATGGAGCAACAGCTTCAACGAGAGGAGGACAAAGAGAAGGAAGAGGAGAAGAGTAAACTGGAGGAGAATAAGACTGAAAAGGATGGGGAACAGAAGATGAACACCAGCGATGTAGTATCCCCGCCTAAACTGGAGAAGCAGGTGACCTTCTCTGTTGATACAAAAAAAGAGGTGGAGAAAGAGCCTCCTTTGGAGGAATATAATGAGGCAGTAGCTAAGCTAAGCTCCACCCTACAGAACTTACAAAGGGACATGCAGCTCCTTACAGAACAGCAGCAAAGGCTCATGGGAAAGAAACCTCTGAGTTCTCCGAAAAACACCTCTTCAAATAAGACAACTGCCTCCAGTAAGGCCTGGGTCATCCCAGCGGGTCCCAAATCCCCCCATCTTTCTAGAGACTCCACCCGTATCATCTCACCCTCTAGATCTCCTTCACGTTCTGCACAACCTTCGGACACGCCAAGATCCCCTAAAAGCTCAGCATCATCTGCTCCACGCAGATCCCATGGAGCTACTCCTAAGAGCCCCAAACGTCAACGTCCCTCCCGCCCCACAGAACTCGGCTTCCAGCCTCTCACACGTGTCCTAACACCCCCACGGAACGTGGACACGCTTCCCCATCTGCGGCGAGTCTCTCCGAGTCAGTGTCAGGTGCAGACTTGCTCCTCACTGCGATTCGGAGGTCCACGCACACCTCAGGACTCTCCGCTGCAATCTACTCTGCCTCAAGAGAGCACATCAGAATCAGGCTCCAGCGAGCATCACACCCCGATCTTCACCCTGGAGCTTGAGGCTGGACCTCCGTCCGCGCTCCCAGCTGAACTCTTAGGCGGGGGGAGCAGTTCGGGAGCCCCGTCAGAGTGCTCGTTTGAAAGCGACATGTTCCTGAGCAGCGCCCTGGTGAAAGACGAGACAGAGGGTGCGGGGACCGTGGGAGACGACACAGATCTGGAACAGGGTGCAGAAATATTCTCATCGGATTCCATGAGTGACCAGACGGAGAATGAGAGCAGGCTGGGACTCGATGTGTTCTTCAAGGTGTGTGTGAATGTCTGCATGTTGTTTGGTTAATGGTACGTGCCTGAGGTGTTTGTAACATGTGTATTTGTGGGCGTTCAGGAGGAGGGTCTCTCGGAGGAGGAGATGGCCCTGAAAAGGGCTCTGCTATTTGAGCGGCAGCAAAGACGAGCGCAAGAGATCAAGAAACGGCCAAGATACGGGCAAGATCCTGAGAACAGGTGAGAACACCCAAATATCAAACCTCTCATTCGGGACCTGCATTCGGGACTTACTTACCTCTGCTTCCTCTTACAGTCAACAGGTTTCTGTGGATGACCTGCGACCCTCTCAAACTCCACCGCTTTCACAGTCACTGCCCACCTCATACACCCCGCCCCCTCCTTCAAAGGCCACGCCCCCAGGAACACCCCTGCGTTGGGGAGCATTCACACGGGCAGAGTATGAAAGGCGCCACCAGCTGAAGATAATGTCTGATCTAGGGAAGGTTCTCAAACAGAAACCAGCTAAGCACAGTGGGAAAAAACAGCTCACACAAAAACCACACAACAACCATGAGGTTACTCACGCACGCTCGCCAGGGAAGAACAAAACAGGTAACCATTAACATCACAAGTATGTCACCAATCACATTTGCCTGTATGAGTGAAACTGCAACTCAACCAATCAATGGAGTTTGGGGCAGGACTCTCAAACTGTTCAGATAGGAGTAGTGTTTGAGAGTGCTGCTTTAAAGATTTCATTAGTATGCCCTAAAAAACAGTTGTTTTCTTTTAGTTGTAGCTAACCAGAAAAATGGCGGATCTCTACCAGCTGAAAAACCAGCAAGGTACGGTACACTGATGCTTAGCCATGCTCTTCTGCCTTCCAAACATCTCCGTCTGTACTTAAACACTTTCTCCTTCATCCAACAACTCAGTCGTTCAGAGTCACCCTCAAAAGTGATATCATCAGGGAAACCGGCCAATCTGAATGGAGAGAAAGACTGGGAGCAAGCCTCCTCTCCAGCCTCACTCCCAGAATACACAGGTTTGTTGTTTTTATGATCAGCTTCCACATTTGAAAATAATTACAACTAATGGAGGTTTGTGAAGTCACACTTGACAAGAACCAGTCAAGGCTAGTTTGAACTGTGTAAGATTTTAGATTAATAATGGGAATAAAAGTCTGGTCAATTGAAAGAAGTAGAACACAGTCAGAGCAAACTGAATGTAGTCTAGATGCTGTCTAATAATGTTTTTTAAGTATGCTGACTTTGACAAGCCAATTTATAATCATTTTAAATCATAATGGTTTAACTGCACTGTGTAGAACAGGTTTAAGTATGAAGACAAAGTGATTTGACCTAATTTGAGAAGATTTAATCAGTACCTTATTTGATGGCTGTCGTCTGACCTTGTGGTTTTCATTCACAGTCAGTTTTATCTTCTTTTCAGGTCCTAAATTATTCAAGGAACCCAGTTTTAAATCCAACAAGTTCATCGTTCACAACGCGCTCTCACGCTGCTGCCTCGCTGGCAAGGTCAACGAATCCCAGAAAAACAAGATTATAGAGGTGCGTCGCTGTTCATCTTTCTCCGCAATCGTGACTTTCACATTCTGACTGTCCGTTTTCTCCCTAGGAGATGGAGAAGAGCTCCGCCAGCCACTTTCTGATTCTCATGCGTGATTCCAACTGTCAGTTCCGCGCCATCTACACCCTCGACGGCCAATCGGAGGAGCTGCAACGACTATGTGGCGTCGGCCCGCGTGTCATATCCTCGTCGGCCGTGGAAGCCATTTATAAATACAGCTCTGACAGGAAACAGTTCAATACTCTTCCGTCTCGTACATTGAGTATGAGCGTCGACGCTTTCACTATCCCCGCCCATCTCTGGCACACTAAGAAACATGGCACGCCCAAAAAAGTAGCCACGCCCATCCATCAAAATAAACCACTCCCACTATAATAAAGACCTGTTCGCACCAGGAACAATAAATATAACATTATAAGCAATGTTGGGGAAAGTTACTTTGAGAAGTAATGCATTACAACATTGCGTTACGTCCTTAAAAAGTAACTAATTGCGTTACTTAGTTACTTTTAGAAAAGTAATGTTAAGTTACGTTAAAAACAAGCCCTGCCCAGGTGAAAAAAAAGTTACTTTTGCGTTACTTTTTTCCCCACCTGGGCTGGGCTTGTTTTTTTTTATAACAAAAATGTTATGACAAAACTTTCAGCTGTTATTCTGGAGAACAAAAAAATCTAGTCATTTTTGCTTATGGTTTAACGGAATCGTCAAAGGTCAGAAGCAAGTACATTAGTCAATAAAGTGAGATTAAATGTATAAACAGTTATGTTTTATTTAACATATTTAGTTATTGGAGGTTTGCATAGTATTCTGATTCTGCATTTCAATGATTGTATTCATTTTGAGGAATATGGAATTTTTTTTTGTGCAAGTGAGATACTAGAACTACAATAACCACCATGTTTACACACAACGCCTCTGCACTACGATTTGTCTCAGCATGGGAACAAGACCTGTCAGTCAATAAATGGGACTTTAAAAATAATGCGTTACTTTACTAGTTACTTGAAAAAGTAATCTGATTGCGTAACTCAAGTTACTCGAGTTACTCCCAACACTGATTATAAGCATATACTTAAATGGACATTAACTATAATGATAATTCTAATGACAACTATATTAGCGTCCACACTAATAGACGAAATCGTTCTGTTTATTATAAGCACGTTGCAGTTTTTTGGTCTGTCTCTTTAAAATGCTTTAAAGCAGGATGGATTCTGATTGGCTGTCAATGTTTTATCGTTCATCAGCTGTAAACATTCACTCTGAAAGTGATACATTTCCTCTGTGCCATTATCGTCAAGGTGTGGGCATCGTTATTCTCATGATTGTTTGAAACTTAATTGTTGGTGTGAACGATCCTTAAACCCCTCCGATAGACCCACTATAAGTGCCATTCCTCGAAATAAACACCTTACCAGCACTGAACACGAGTCTCTGTGATCACCGAAACATGTTTTTCTGACTCTGCATGAAGGTTTTCGCGCTCCTGCTTGCATGTGAACGTTCGGTTCGGTCCAGATATCTCTTGACGGTCACACCAACTGAGCACTTGAAGCATTTCTCTCTGGTTTCTATGCTCTTATATACAGACTTTTGAATCTCAGACTAGTGTAGTTTTAGTGAGAGTCGCTGCTGAGGGTTTTATCTCTTCTCCGACTGGCTGGATGATTTTAGAGATCTCCTGCTGCCAACACTTGTTCTCTTTTATATTATTACATCAGTCTCTCCTCGTGTGTGGAGTCAATCACTCTCCTGTCCAAAGACTGAGGCATCATGTGATCTGATGTCTGACTCTGTTGAACAGAGTCTCAGAGCTGAATGTGGATCAGTGGGTCACAGTCCTGAGAACCTGATCCTGGATCAGTATTAAAAAGCCATTAAACCTCCATCATAATCATACAGCGTCGGTGTGTGTGTTTGTGTGTGTGAGAGAGAAAGGCTGTTGGAAGGTTTTCTGAGTTTTGACATCATGTTTAACTGTGTGTTTTCCTGCTCTTTGATGATGATTCTGATGATTTTATGTGGTGATGAACATGTAGATCAATAAAATAATTTCTAACAATTCAACTCCACTGTTTTGTAAGTGACTGACAGCAAAGGAATGATTCCTGAACGCCACAGATATAATGTTTGAATCTGAACTATCTTGTTTTCTTGACTAGATTCCCACAATGCTGTGGTGCAGTAGGCCTGCTGTTATTGGTCCGTTTTTTATGTTTGATGTAATTTGATCTTTGAAAAAGGTGTTTTCCCACCCTTTTAGTCCACTTTGTACCCAGTGCTGATGGGAATCCTGACAGACGCGGTTCACACACTCTGAGCGTTCACACAGATTTGTTTAATCCTCAGAGCGATGATCATTTGCCTGTTTAATGAGCAGATCATGAAAAACAGAAGAACCTCCAGCATTAGCGCTCGAGGGTTTGTGGGAGTGACGTGGGACTCTATCTGTCGTGTATCATCTTTGCTGTTTGGTAAGTCCATGTTTTAGGCCAAGTCTTTGTTTTATGTTTGATCATGTTTGGGAAATAAAGCTGCCCGTGGGTTCTATCAACTGGCCTGAGGTGACTGGAGTTTTGAGGACTTTTCTCTCAGGTAGATTTTAATTCCACTGCTCTAAAGGGCATTTTCCAAAATGGTAACTATCTAATGCCGGATATCAACGTCCCAGTGACTCTTGAGGAATATATTGACTTTGCCCTTTTGTTGATCGGCTTGTTATTTTCATGAGGAGCCCCACAATCCCATGCCAAGAAGTCTCATGCCAAGATGGCCGTCGTTCCCCAGAGTCTTGTCCCAAGAAGGCCACCATTTGAGAGTCTTATCCCAAGATGGCCACCATTTCAGAGTCTCATCCCAAGATGGCCACCATTCCAGAGTCTCATCCCAAGATGGCCACCATTCCAGAGTCTCATCCCAAGATGGCCACCATTCCAGAATCTCATCCCAAGATGGCCACCATTCCAGAGTCTCATCCCAAGATGGCCACCATTCCAGAGTCTCATCCCAAGATGGCCACCATTCCAGAGTCTCATCCCAAGATGGCCACCATTTCAGAGTCTCATGCCAAGATGGCCGTCGTTCCCCAGAGTCTCATGCCAAGATAGCCACCATTCCAGAGTCTCGTCCCAAGATGGCCACCATTCCAGAGTCTCATCCCAAGATGGCCACCATTCCAGAGTCTCGTCCCAAGATGGCCACCATTCCAGAGTCTCATCCCAAGATGGCCACCATTCCAGAGTCTCATGCCAAGATAGCCACCATTCCAGAGTCTCGTCCCAAGATGGCCACCATTCCAGAGTCTCGTCCCAAGATGGCCACCATTCCAGAGTCTCGTCCCAAGATGGCCACCATTCCAGAGTCTCGTCCCAAGATGGCCACCATTCCAGAGTCTCATCCCAAGATGGCCACCATTCCAGAGTCTCGTCCCAAGATGGCCACCATTTCAGAGTCTCGTCCCAAGATGGCCACCATTTCAGAGTCTCATGCCAAGATGGCCGTCGTTCCCCAGAGTCTCATGCCAAGATGGCCGTCGTTCCCCAGAGTCTCATCCCAAGATGGCCACCATTCCAGAGTCTCGTCCCAAGATGGCCACCATTTCAGAGTCTCGTCCCAAGATGGCCACCATTTCAGAGTCTCATGCCAAGATGGCCGTCGTTCCCCAGAGTCTCATGCCAAGATGGCCACCATTCCAGAGTCTCGTCCTAAGATGGCCACCATTTCAGAGTCTCTTGCCAAGATGGCCGTCATTCCCTAGAGTCTTGTCCCAAGAAGGCTACCATTTAAGAGTCTTATCCCAAGATGGCCACCATTCCAGAGTCTCGTCCCAAGATGGCCACCATTCCAGAGTCTCGTCCCAAGATGGCCACCATTTCAGAGTCTCATCCCAAGCTGGGCGCTGTTCCAGAATCTCGTCCCAAGATGGCCACCATTTCAGAGTCTCGTCCCAAGAATACCAACATTTCAGAGTCTCATGCCAAGATGGCCGTCGTTCCCCAGAGTTTCGTCCCAAGAAGGCCACCATTACAGAGTCTCATCCCAAGACGGCCGCCATTCTAGAGTCTTTTGGCAATATTGCCGCCTTTCCAGAGCCCTTTGGCAAAAGGGCCGCCACGCCTGAGTCAGTTACGGAGGACGCAGCGTTGACAATTGTGGCCGTGGCTACCTTGTGTGTGTGTGTGGGCCAAGCATGCATCCACTCCTGACCCTGATCAGTGACCAGAGGGAGCTCCAGCCTGTGAGCCCGCTCAGCACAAGAACATTTTGTTTGGGTGCCATACACCCGTACCACCCGTACTGGCCTAGCCAAGCTCCTTGGGCGGGGCTGCAGAGGCCAATCTGCCATGGCCCCCTGCTTTCTTGCTATGTCTAGTTTTGATTTTTTTGAGCGTCAGGAGCCCCCTATAGACTTGGGGATCTGTAATTTCTAGTTTTGGTTGATTGTTTCATGTTTCTGGTCACTGTCTTGTCATGTGATTTCCTTGCCATCATGTCTAGTGCTTCCCTTGTCTAATGTGTCATGTTATTAATAGTTCATTATTTCATTGTGCACAGGTGTGTCTTGTTCAGTCATTAGTCTTGTGTGTATTTAAGCCCTCATGTTTGCCATGTGTCAAGTATTGTTACCTGTAACCACTGTTTGGTAAGTCCATGATTTTCAAGCCATGAAAAAATCCAAGCCAAGTCTTTGTTTTATGTTTGATCATGTTTGGGAAATAAAGCTGCTCTTGGGTTCTATTGACTGACCTGCAGTGGACTGTACACTGTAACAGTACCATAAGACATTTGGCATTACTGGGAACCACAAATATTCCTCCATTGCATTATTATATATTCTATTTAACATTATATAGTATTTTAATATAGTACTGGCACTTAAACTCTGAAAACATTTAGAGTGAACTATACACAATAAATATTGTCACTATGCACGATACATTTTGTATTGTGATAAATATACATTGTACACAATATATTTTTACACCCATACTACCTGCGCATTCTTGAGCTCTTCCTCAGAGATGTTTCTTCACTTTTCTCATGTCATCAAAGAACTCTTTTAACATTTGCATGATATTATTTCTGGGAACCGTTCTGTCCCCAGGGGGCCGCTGTCATTGAGGGAGTGGCGCACATGAAGACCAGCTATAAACCATGGGCTTCACACCATCCTGCACTACACACACCTCTCCCATCATAGGTGTATCATCTGGATCATCACCGTCTTGCGTCTGTTCACCGTCAACATGTCCTTCAGCAGAACTCAGCACTTCTCAGGCAGGTCTCTCTCCACTAGCCGCTCAATGGCTCCGGTTAGTTTCTCCAGCTTCAGAAGTCAGTCGGCTGGGTTAGGGTTTGGATCCGGCTCTGGATCGGGCTACGGGTCCGGTGCCGGTTCAGGGTTTGGGTCTGGTTTTGGGTCTGGGTCAGGATTTGGGGTGGGTGGAGGTTCTCTCTCGGGGGGTTTGAGGACGGTTGGAGGCTCTCTCTCGGCCGTAAGTGGAGGTCACGCTGGGGCCAGTTTCAGGGCCGCCTCGGGCTCTTTCTCAGAAGCCGTGTCCAACGTTATCAATGACAAACAGCAGCTGCAGGCTCTGAACGATCGTCTCGCGACGTACCTGGAGAAGGTGAAGCGCCTGGAGACCACGAACCTGGAGCTCAACGAGAAGCTCCGTGCGTTCACCGTCAACCGAGTCCAGAGCAGCGTCAACCTGGAGCCCTACGAGATGCAGATCAAACCACTGCGGGAGAAGGTGTGTCTCTTTTTTAGGCTTACATGCAATATTACCAATGAATTATAGCTTTACAAAACAAGTAATGACAATACATTGAAATATGCAGTATAACAATAGTGGTAACACTTACAATGAACACCGGGATTTTAATTAACTAACATTAATAAAGATTGATAAATATTGTAACAGTGCTCATTGTTATTTCATGTTAGTTAATACATTTACTAATGTTAACTAAGGAGCCTTTTTGTAAAGTGTTGCCACAATAGCAAATAGTGATAAAATAGTATTAAAACAAGGTGCTAAGTGTGTGATAATTTCTGCTGGATATCTTGTTTTCTCCTCCAGCTTCTGGTTCTCCTTCAGGAGCACACGCGCATCGCTTTAGTCATGGACAACACCAAACTGGCTGCTGATGATTTCAGAATGAAGTGAGTTTGAGCTGGTAATGCAGCATCAGCTGCTCAGTTTAGTTTCTGACTGGATGAGTCGCATTTAAAGTCGATTTCAGTCACTGTAAAGCACATAACAAAGATCTATTCACACCGAGAACAAGAACGATAACTATATTAGTGTCCACACTAATGCACGATAACTATAACTAGAACTATAACGATAACTATATTAGTGTCCAAACCAATTCACAATAACTATAGCGATAACTATATTAGTGTCCACACCAATTCACGATAACTATATTAGTGTCCACACCAATTCACGATAACTATAGCGATAACTATATTAGTGTCCAAACCAATTCACGATAACTATAGCGATAACTATAACGATAACTATATTAGTGTCCAAACCAATTCACGATAACTATAGCGATAACTATAGCGATAACTATATTAGTGTCCACACCAATTCACGATAACTATAGCGATAACTATATTAGTGTCCACACCAATTCACGATAACTATAGCGATAACTATATTAGTGTCCAAACCAATTCACGATAACTATAACAAGAACTATAGCGATAACTATATTAGTGTCCACACCAATGTACGATAACGAGAACTATAACGATAACTATATTAGTGTCCATACCAATTTACAATAACTATAGCGATAACTGTAACTATATTAGTGTCCACACCAATTCACGATGACTATAGAGATCACTGTAACGATAACTATATTACTGTCCGCACTAATTCACGATAACTATAGCGATAACTATAACTATATTAGTGCCAACACCAATTCACGATAACTATAGTGATAACTATAACTATATTCGTGTCCATACCAATTCACGATAACTATAGCGATAACTATATTAGTGTCCATACCAATTTACGATAACTATAGCGATAACTGTAACAATAACTATATTAGTGTCCACACCAATTCACGATAACTATAGCGATAACTATAACTATATTAGTGTCCATACCAATTCACGATAACTATAGCGATAACTATAACTACATTAGTGTCCATACCAATTCACGATAACTATAGCAATAACTATAACGATAACTATATTAGTGTCTAAACCAATTCACGATAACTATAACGATAACTATATTAGTGTCCAAACCAATTCACGATAACTATAGCGATAACTATAACGATAACTATATTAGTGTCTAAACCAATTCACGATAACTATAGCAATAACTATAACTATATTAGTGTCCACACCAATTCACGATAACTATAGCGATAACTATAACGATAACTATATTAGTGTTCAAAGCAATTCACGATAACTATAGTGATAACTATAACGATAACTATATTAGTGTCCAAACCAATTCACTATAACTATAGCAATAACTATAACAATAACTATATTAGTGTTCAAACCAATTCACGATAACTATAGCGATAACTATAACGATAACTATATTAGTGTCCACACCAATTCACGATAACTATAGCAATAACTATAACAATAACTATATTAGTGTTCAAACCAATTCACGATAACTATAGCGATAACTATAACAATAACTATATTAGTGTCTAAACCAATTCACGATAACTATAGCGATAACTATAACGATAACTATATTAGTGTTCAAACCAATTCACGATAACTATAGCGATAACTATAACAATAACTATATTAGTGTCTAAACCAATTCACGATAACTATAGCGATAACTATAACAATAACTATATTAGTGTCTAAACCAATTCACGATAACTATAGCGATAACTATAACAATAACTATATTAGTGTCTAAACCAATTCACGATAACTATAGCGATAACTATAACGATAACTATATTAGTATCCAAACCAATTCACGATAACTATAGCGATAACTATAACAATAACTATATTAGTGTCTAAACCAATTCACGATAACTATAGCGATAACTATAACAATAACTATATTAGTGTCTAAACCAATTCACGATAACTATAGCGATAACTATAACAATAACTATATTAGTGTCTAAACCAATTCACGATAACTATAGCGATAACTATAACGATAACTATATTAGTATCCAAACCAATTCACGATAACTATAGCAATAACGATAACTATATTAGTGTCCACACCAATTCACGATAACTATAGCGATAATAACTATAACGATAACTATATTAGTGTTCAAACCAATTCACGATAACTATAGCGATAACTATAACAATAACTATATTAGTGTCTAAACCAATTCACGATAACTATAGCGATAACTATAACGATAACTATATTAGTATCCAAACCAATTCACGATAACTATAGCAATAACTATAACGATAACTATATTAGTGTCCACACCAACGCAGGATAACATTCTGTTTGCCGTAAGCTCTTGTAAGCTGATGTTTATGATCCTTTGCCCGTGAGCGCAGGTTCGAGACGGAGCTGTCCATGCGTCAGTCTGTGGAGGGAGACATCGCAGGTCTGAAGGCGCTGAAGAAAGAGTACGAGTCCACCAACAGTGCGTTGCTGCAGGAGATCACGGGCCTGACGAAGGAGTGCGCCGCTCTCAGAAAACTCCAGCACGAGGTGAGGAAACACACGCAAGCGCAGTTCTTTGGGTGTCTTCGCACTGATAAGAAGAATTGTTTAATGAATACAATAAATTACTCAAATAAATTATATTATTTATTATAATAGGTTATACTACTGTATTGTTATATACTGTATTATAAATTAGCATAATAATTTCTATTACCTTACTATATATATAATTTATTTTTACACAAGATTTTTTTTATTTTATAGGGTTAATTTATACATATATATGTATACTATACATCATTTATAATAAATATACTGATATTATATTATATATTTGAAATATATATTAGTTTTTATTGTAATGTAATTGTATATATTTAAATCATTGGCAAGTTGTAGTTAGGACAAAAATGTGTTTACAAGTACAACAGGATTCTGTTTTAGCAGAAAAGAACACTTGTTTTTAAAATTTAGAATTGTAACATTTAGCTTAGCTTGTTAGGGTTAGAAGTGCACTAGCATGTAGACGAACTGAAACATGAACTAAACTCAATTCCAGGCATCTTTAAAGAACTGTTGTCTAGTCTCCTTTATTTATACAGCGCTTTAGGCGCTTGTTTCAGAGCAGCTTTACAGAGAGAACAGGAAAATAGAGAATAGCGTCTCAGTCCAGCTGAAGTCAGCTCAAGTGAAGTAAAGAGCTGATGACCTTTGCCCTGTGGTTCAGGAGATGATGTCACTGCGAGGTCAGATGGTCGGCACGGTGACGGTGGATGTGAAGCAGGTCGAGAGCACGGATCTGTCCCGAGTGCTGGCCGAGATCCGCTCAGAGTACGAGATGCTCATCGAGAAGAACCGCAGAGAGCTGGAGAGCTGGTACACCAGACAGGTACACACACACACACACACACACACATGAGAGCTCGGTGTGTTTTACTGATGCTGATGCTGTGGTGCAGGTGGAGAAGAAGCAGGAGGAGGCGACGCTGATCACTGAGACGACCATCAGCGGAAGTTCAGAGGTCACAGTCAAACGCAAACAAACCCTGATCCTGCAGACACAGCTGGAGTCCTCACTGATGGAGGTACACACACACACACACACACAAACCAGACCCAGTGGCCAATCTGATCATCTCCCTGTGCTAAGTTTAAAATATGATTCCAAAATGATGTCATAAAACATCTTTATTGTGAAGTGCTGTGTGTGAAGGATGGCCTTCTGTTGTTGTGTGCGTCTGCAGAAGGCGAGTGTGGAGCAGCGTCTGGTGGAGCTGCAGGCGCAGTATCAGGCGCAGATCTTCTCGCTCAGTCAGCTGGCCGGCGGCCTGGAGGGGGAGCTGTCGTCCGTGCGCGAGAGTGCGATGCAGCAGAGCCGCGACTATCAGCTGCTGCTGAGCACCAAAGTGCAGCTGGAGCGCGAGATCAGCACCTATAAAGCCCTGCTAGAGGGCGCCGGAGAGTTCACCGGCCTCGGCGCATCAGTTCCTGCGGGAGCCGCGGGTGAGGAGTGCTGCACAACACTCAGATTCATCATCATCAGATCAAATGTTGGAATCAGGAGAACAAACTTATGACATAAGTCGAAATTGACAACAAAAAATATCTAAATTATGAGACGAAATGTTGGATTTATGACAACAAACTTTAATGACAAAAATGTCATAATTATGACAAGTCGAAAAATTATGACAAAAGTTGAAATTGACAACTTAGAATTATGACAAACTTAAATAACTAAAAGTCATAATTATGAAATGAAATGTTGACAAAAAGCAAAAATGACTTAGTATAAAATAATTTTGACTTTGTCATAGTTATGACTTGAAATGAAATGTTGGAATTGACAAATAAAAAATACTAAAAAGTCATAATTATGACAAAAAGTAAAAATAATTTTAATTATGAGATGAAATGTTATAATTATGACAAAAAACTTTAAATGACTGATTAATTATGATATCGAAATTGCATACTAAGTCATAACATACTAAGTCATTAAATGTTGTAATTATGACAAAAAAGTTAAACGACTTAGTCATAATTATGACATAACTCTAAAAAATGACAAAAGTCGAAATTGACAAAAAAATATGACACCGTATTTAACTTTTTTGTCAAAATTCTAACATTTCATTTCACAATTATGACTCAGTATGTCATAATGTTTTATTTTTGTTATATAATTATAATTACGACACAAAAGACGAAATTACGACAAGCTGAAATTGACAAAGAACTTAATTATTAATTATCTAAATTACTAAATCATAATTATGAGATGAAAAATTGCAATATAAATTAAAACTATAAGTTGAAATTGACAAAAAAACGTGTAAAATTTCTGAGTTAAAACGTAATAACTGACATAAAAAGTCGAAACTGACACGCATAATTTTAAGTACGTCAAAATCATGACTAAAGTCGTAATGCGATAAGCATTACGCTTATTATTAATGTGATAAGCATGCGGAAGTCGATAAGCTTGATTTAAAAAATCGAAATTATGATGGGCACTTGAAAATACTGTGAATAATTCTAGGTATTTTTTTTCCTAAATTGTTGAGATTTTTAGAACGTTTCTTTTCCATCATCCATGTAAACAAAACAGGCGGTGGAACGTTCGAAAAGTAATGACGTTTTTAGTTTTCGCTATGATGTTTATCAAATAACACCAAATTAAAGACTCGTGTTCATTTGTACTTCAATCTGTTTGAAAAAGTTGTTTACTTTGTGTATTGTTTCATTGCATTTAAATGTTCAAAGTTTTTAAGCTTTTGCAATTATCATGATATGAAAATGTAATTCATTACATCCTTTTAAAAAGTCTTGGCTCGTGTTAATCACTACTGTCATTGGTTTGATGTGCAGCGAGTGGAATCGCTGTCAGCTGGTCGAGCAAGACGACAGTGGGCGGAGCTATAGCTGATACAGAGCTGTCAGTGGGTGGAGCTATAGCCGATACAGAGCTGTCAGTGGGCGGAGCTATAGCCTATACAGAGCTTACAGAGCTGTCAGTGGGCGGAGCTATAGCCGATACAGAGCTGTCAGTGGGCGGAGCTACAGCCGATGTAGTGGCTTCAGTGGGCGGAGCTACAGCTGACGTAGTGGCTTCAGTGGGAGGAGCTACAGCCGATGTAGTGGCTTCAGTGGGCGGAGCTACAGCGGATGTAGTGGCTTCAGTGGGCGGAGCTACAGCAGCTGAGGTATGATCGTTTATATCAGAGCCTGAAAATGTCTTATAAACTGCATGAAATCATACTCTTCCGTGCGTCTCCTACAATATTCACAACGCTGATGTAACTACATGTGTCTGACTGACACTAATTAAAGTAGTTTTTCATGTCAGTAAATGTCAAGTATAAAGAATTCTGCAGTTACTACAGGCCAGTGTTGTTATACCATCTTTGATACTGTTATAGTTTCGGTGATGTTTTGAATGAGCTTTTTATTTTTACATTTGGCCACCAGGTAAAATAAAATGTTTCAATATTTAGTTTGTTTAAAGATGCTGTGTTTAACTACTAAAACATAAAAATACCATAGCATGTTTCCGCAATATGCAAAAAACCGCCCCGTTTCTCTGAAATTATTTTACTGTGAAATGTGTTTCCAGGCTGGAATCTTTGTTTTTGTTTGGTCTGTGATACCGCACGTTGCCAATTTGCCCGTTTTCATTGTCCATTGCGCTCGTTCCCGGTGCACGTGCTCAAACTGGCGACCCGTGTGAGCGCTGTCGAGTCCGTGGAGGCGGGAGAAACCACCATCTCAGATATTTTGAATTGGACTGCAGTACCTATTTCAACCACTAGTCATTCTTACAGTCTGCACCTTTAATATTTTCTGTAATGTAATCAGATTACTTTTTTTCCAAGTCGTGTGTAAATTAATGCATTACTTAGGCATTTCCAACACAAATCTTTAGTATGTTGAGAATGAAGCGTCTACGGTTGTACAGATGCCATAAAAGAGAAAGAATTGTGTGTGATTTCACTGATGAGATCTTTAATCCAGTCCATCTGTGTGGTTTTGCAGATTTAAAGTCCACCGGAGGGTCATCGTGGTCTGAGTGATGTCATCGCCGCTCAACCAATCCAAACCCGATGTGTGTTTAATGCTGCGTAACTCTGTCCAGCATCAATAAACTCAAACCCCTTAAACCTCTCAGTGTTTCTGTGATCACATTCATAAAAACTGTTTGATTTGGTTCACACTTTCAATAGTCATACAATACAAACACAAAGATGTCCGCCGTTATTCGGTTTATTAGCCGTCGATGAGCACAAACACTAAAGCACACATTATCGAGCTGAAGCAGGTTATTGCACTGAAATAAGAGCGTTTGAGGACGTCTGTTGTCCTGCGAGGTTCATCTGCCTCCTGCGAGAGTAAAGAAAGGGGATTCAGTTCATATCGAGTGAAACTCCAGTCAGATGTGTCTCAGGAAGTTTGTGTTACCCGTTCAGTGTGTGTGAGTCGAGTTCGATCCGCAGACCGGCTCTCCTTCAGCCACGTACCACACCTCATTATGCCTGTTCAACAGCTTCAGAGGACTGACACACACACACACACACACACACACACACACACACACACACACACACAACAATTGTAATAAATAAATAAGGTTTGATTAGGTTATTTTCCAAATCTGTGAAGCTGCTGAGAATCAATCTGTATCGTATAAAGTGCTGTAGAGATGAACTGAAAAGTTGAGCAAATACTGTATTTCCTTGGAATAATAGTACAGAACAAAACCAGGAACCAATAAAGTGTGTGTGTGTTTGTGAACCTGTCATAATAATAATAATATATTTATTGTCCACCAGGGTGGAAAATTGTTGGAAATAGCCCATAGACCTGTCAAATGTGTGTGTGTTGAGACCTGTCGTAGCCCACGGCGTAGTGGTGTGTGTGGTTGAAGTGCGCGTGGGCTCTGGTCAACGCTCGGCTCAGCAGGTGTGTGTGGAGTCGTGACGTGATCGACAGCATCCAGCCGCCGTAACTCCTCACGTACACGTCCATGTCGGGCATCTCCGTGAAGTACAGCTGAGAAAACACCACACACACACACTGACATCACACACAATGACATCACACACACTGACATCACATGACATGCTGCTTCTTTGTTGGAAACTTTAGGATTAAAAATAATCTAACTAAAGTTAAATGTAGTCTTTCAGGTCATCTAAACTCATAAGACTTTCATTCATGTTTAGAAACAAATAAAGATATTTTTAATGTTCGCTCATCATTTCTGTCCGTTTATTGAAAGACATAAAAGTGATCCGTACGATTCAGTTTCGGAAGCGTGAGAACCAATGACGTTTGTGACACATGCACTTTTGAGCTCGCGTTGAACATTAAAGATGTGCTTTATGTGTTTATATGTGAAAAAAACTGCTAAATTGAAATAGTTTATAATATAAAGTAAAGTGGCTGATAGTGTCTCTCACTTTTTACCCAGCCGTCCAATCACAGTGGAGAAGGGGCGGGACAAATACAACCCTGACCAACCGCCACATTCTGCTTGTAGATGACAACAAGATGCGTAATAACGAGACAAAATAATTTAAAACAAGAGCCAGACTAAATATTCTGCATTGTATCGACATTTGAATATAGAAATAACACAGAAAATTCTTTGAGAAATGAGATAACTAGTGACACTTTCATCCCAGATAGCAAACTGACATTGAATCAACGTGGAAACAACGTTGATTCGACATTGTTTTGCTCATCGAATTAACGTTGAACCAACGTCAGACGCGTCATTCTTTCAAAACTAACGGAAAATCAACTTGAAATCAACGCGTTGTTTCAACGTTATGAAAGCAAACCAATTTTCGATTTTCATTTAGCTTTGAAGAATGCCGCGTCTGACGTTGGTTCAACGTTAATTCGATGAGCAAAATCAACGTTGTTTCGATGTCACGAGAGACATCGTTTCCACGTTGATTCAATGTCAGTTTGCTGTCTGGGTTGGATATTTCGTCAAAGACTACATCTGGAGAGATCCAGTCGATCAACAGCCCTAATGCTTCTCCGTCCTGTAGCTCGTCATTTCATTCTCTAACGTTAGGCAGTTTTGATTTATATGCCGTTTAATTTAGATGACCACGTTATTTTACATAAGCGATCTCATATGTAAGCAGATGCATGTTTCTGCTTCTGATCAGGAGAGTCAGTACTCTTTCAGGAGAAGTGTACTAGCGCCCCCTACCGTATAACAGTGAAAACACAGAAAATCCTTCAATGGCGGGGAAAGAGTTAACTAGTTTGTTCACATGAGTTTTAATGCTGTGCTAAACACCACACATACATCTGCAGCATTTAACTAAATGTATTATTGTAATAAATATTTCAGTGTTATTTTCCATGTCGCTTCATGGGTGGAGCCTCTGGACGTCACCTTCTCATTGGTGGGAGTGGGCGGACGCTCCTGATAGGCTGACGGCAACAGGAAGCTGAGCGTGTAGATCGCCGGTTCCCACATCTTCACTTCCTCAGGAACTTCAACAAGCACCGGAGCCGTCATCTCAAACGTCACACCTACACACACACACACACACACACACAGAGCTGTGTCAGTCGCTTCACCTGACAGCACGTTTATGATATGAACGTTCTCACAGACCCTCTTTATTGGCTCCAGAGATGTAATGATAGAGGCGTCTGAAGGCCATGGCGGCTCCAACGCCGAGGAAATACGCCTCCGCGTCCGTGGAGATCCAGCGCGAGGACGAGTAGCGCCGCACCTACACACACACACACACACACACATACTTATCAGATTCAGATTTAACCAAAGTACCTTTAGCCTTCATCTTTCTAACCCTTTTATTTCATTTTGATAATATTTTTTTTTCCATTTCTTGGAAGTTATCTTGTTTGGGATATCTTGGGAGTTTTTGAGCTTTTTGAACTTTTTTGAGTTGAAACGAATTTTTGAGTTTCGATATCTCAGTTCTGGAAGGGGCTGGAGCCTCCATTTTTGCACTCAGGTCTAAGTCTCATGGCCCTCTATCAGAATCCAGAGTTTTGGGAAGATTAGAGAAACTTAATTTTTCGCCCGAAAAAAAAAAACGTAAGGGGTACCACTGTCGTTTTTTTTTTCGGGCCGAATTTTTGAGTTTTGATATCTCAGCTCTGGAAGGGGCTAGAGCCTCCATTTTTGCACTCAGGTCTAAGTCTCATGGCCCTCTATCAGAATCCAGAGTTTTGGGAAGATTGGAGAAACTTAATTTTTCGCCCGAAAAAAAAAACGTAAGGGGTACCACTGTCGTTTTTTTTTCGGGCCGAATTTTTGAGTTTCGATATCTCAGCTCTGGAAGGGGCTAGAGCCTCCATTTTTGCACTCAGGTCTAAGTCTCATGGCCCTCTATCAGAATCCAGAGTTTTGGGAAGATTGGAGAAACTTAATTTTTCGCCCGAAAAAAAAAACGTAAGGGGTACCACTGTCGTTTTTTTTTTCGGGCCGAATTTTTGAGTTTCGATATCTCAGCTCTGGAAGGGGCTAGAGCCTCCATTTTTGCACTCAGGTCTAAGTCTCATGGCCCTCTATCAGAATCCAGAGTTTTGGGAAGATTGGAGAAACTTAATTTTTCGCCCGAAAAAAAAAAACGTAAGGGGTACCACTGTCGTTTTTTTTTCGGGCCGAATTTTTGAGTTTCGATATCTCAGCTCTGGAAGGGGCTAGAGCCTCCATTTTTGCACTCAGGTCTAAGTCTCATGGCCCTCTATCAGAATCCAGAGTTTTGGGAAGATTGGAGAAACTTAATTTTTCGCCCGAAAAAAAAAACGTAAGGGGTACCACTGTCGTTTTTTTTTCGGGCCGAATTTTTGAGTTTCGATATCTCAGCTCTGGAAGGGGCTAGAGCCTCCATTTTTGCACTCAGGTCTAAGTCTCATGGCCCTCTATCAGAATCCAGAGTTTTGGGAAGATTGGAGAAACTTAATTTTTCGCCCAAAAAAAAAAAACGTAAGGGGTACCACTGTCGTTTTTTTTTCGGGCCGAATTTTTGAGTTTCGATATCTCAGCTCTGGAAGGGGCTAGAGCCTCCATTTTTGCACTCAGGTCTAAGTCTCATGGCCCTCTATCAGAATCCAGAGTTTTGGGAAGATTGGAGAAACTTAATTTTTCGCCCGAAAAAAAAAAACGTAAGGGGTACCACTGTCGTTTTTTTTTTCGGGCCGAATTTTTGAGTTTCGATATCTCAGCTCTGGAAGGGGCTAGAGCCTCCATTTTTGCACTCAGGTCTAAGTCTCATGGCCCTCTATCAGAATCCAGAGTTTTGGGAAGATTGGAGAAACTTAATTTTTCGCCCGAAAAAAAAAACGTAAGGGGTACCACTGTCGTTTTTTTTTCGGGCCGAATTTTTGAGTTTCGATATCTCAGCTCTGGAAGGGGCTAGAGCCTCCATTTTTGCACTCAGGTCTAAGTCTCATGGCCCTCTATCAGAATCCAGAGTTTTGGGAAGATTGGAGAAACTTAATTTTTCGCCCGAAAAAAAAAAAACGTAAGGGGTACCACTGTCGTTTTTTTTTCGGGCCGAATTTTTGAGTTTCGATATCTCAGCTCTGGAAGGGGCTAGAGCCTCCATTTTTGCACTCAGGTCTAAGTCTCATGGCCCTCTATCAGAATCCAGAGTTTTGGGAAGATTGGAGAAACTTAATTTTTCGCCCGAAAAAAAAAACGTAAGGGGTACCACTGTCGTTTTTTTTTCGGGCCGAATTTTTGAGTTTCGATATCTCAGCTCTGGAAGGGGCTAGAGCCTCCATTTTTGCACTCAGGTCTAAGTCTCATGGCCCTCTATCAGAATCCAGAGTTTTGGGAAGATTGGAGAAACTTAATTTTTCGCCCGAAAAAAAAAACGTAAGGGGTACCACTGTCGTTTTTTTTTCGGGCCGAATTTTTGAGTTTCGATATCTCAGCTCTGGAAGGGGCTAGAGCCTCCATTTTTGCACTCAGGTCTAAGTCTCATGGCCCTCTATCAGAATCCAGAGTTTTGGGAAGATTGGAGAAACTTAATTTTTCGCCCGAAAAAAAAAAACGTAAGGGGTACCACTGTCGTTTTTTTTTCGGGCCGAATTTTTGAGTTTCGATATCTCAGCTCTGGAAGGGGCTAGAGCCTCCATTTTTGCACTCAGGTCTAAGTCTCATGGCCCTCTATCAGAATCCAGAGTTTTGGGAAGATTGGAGAAACTTAATTTTTCGCCCGAAAAAAAAAACGTAAGGGGTACCACTGTCGTTTTTTTTTCGGGCCGAATTTTTGAGTTTCGATATCTCAGCTCTGGAAGGGGCTAGAGCCTCCATTTTTGCACTCAGGTCTAAGTCTCATGGCCCTCTATCAGAATCCAGAGTTTTGGGAAGATTGGAGAAACTTAATTTTTCGCCCGAAAAAAAAAAACGTAAGGGGTACCACTGTCGTTTTTTTTTCGGGCCGAATTTTTGAGTTTCGATATCTCAGCTCTGGAAGGGGCTAGAGCCTCCATTTTTGCACTCAGGTCTAAGTCTCATGGCCCTCTATCAGAATCCAGAGTTTTGGGAAGATTGGAGAAACTTAATTTTTCGCCCGAAAAAAAAAAACGTAAGGGGTACCACTGTCGTTTTTTTTTCGGGCCGAATTTTTGAGTTTCGATATCTCAGCTCTGGAAGGGGCTAGAGCCTCCATTTTTGCACTCAGGTCTAAGTCTCATGGCCCTCTATCAGAATCCAGAGTTTTGGGAAGATTGGAGAAACTTAATTTTTCGCCCGAAAAAAAAAAACGTAAGGGGTACCACTGTCGTTTTTTTTTTCGGGCCGAATTTTTGAGTTTCGATATCTCAGCTCTGGAAGGGGCTAGAGCCTCCATTTTTGCACTCAGGTCTAAGTCTCATGGCCCTCTATCAGAATCCAGAGTTTTGGGAAGATTGGAGAAACTTAATTTTTCGCCCGAAAAAAAAAAACGTAAGGGGTACCACTGTCGTTTTTTTTTCGGGCCGAATTTTTGAGTTTCGATATCTCAGCTCTGGAAGGGGCTAGAGCCTCCATTTTTGCACTCAGGTCTAAGTCTCATGGCCCTCTATCAGAATCCAGAGTTTTGGGAAGATTGGAGAAACTTAATTTTTCGCCCCAAAAAAAAAAAACGTAAGGGGTACCACTGTCGTTTTTTTTTCGGGCCGAATTTTTGAGTTTCGATATCTCAGCTCTGGAAGGGGCTAGAGCCTCCATTTTTGCACTCAGGTCTAAGTCTCATGGCCCTCTATCAGAATCCAGAGTTTTGGGAAGATTGGAGAAACTTAATTTTTCGCCCGAAAAAAAAAACGTAAGGGGTACCACTGTCGTTTTTTTTTCGGGCCGAATTTTTGAGTTTCGATATCTCAGCTCTGGAAGGGGCTAGAGCCTCCATTTTTGCACTCAGGTCTAAGTCTCATGGCCCTCTATCAGAATCCAGAGTTTTGGGAAGATTGGAGAAACTTAATTTTTCGCCCGAAAAAAAAAACGTAAGGGGTACCACTGTCGTTTTTTTTTCGGGCCGAATTTTTGAGTTTCGATATCTCAGCTCTGGAAGGGGCTAGAGCCTCCATTTTTGCACTCAGGTCTAAGTCTCATGGCCCTCTATCAGAATCCAGAGTTTTGGGAAGATTGGAGAAACTTAATTTTTCGCCCGAAAAAAAAAAACGTAAGGGGTACCACTGTCGTTTTTTTTTTCGGGCCGAATTTTTGAGTTTCGATATCTCAGCTCTGGAAGGGGCTAGAGCCTCCATTTTTGCACTCAGGTCTAAGTCTCATGGCCCTCTATCAGAATCCAGAGTTTTGGGAAGATTGGAGAAACTTAATTTTTCGCCCGAAAAAAAAAAACGTAAGGGGTACCACTGTCGTTTTTTTTTTCGGGCCGAATTTTTGAGTTTCGATATCTCAGCTCTGGAAGGGGCTAGAGCCTCCATTTTTGCACTCAGGTCTAAGTCTCATGGCCCTCTATCAGAATCCAGAGTTTTGGGAAGATTGGAGAAACTTAATTTTTCGCCCGAAAAAAAAAACGTAAGGGGTACCACTGTCGTTTTTTTTTTCGGGCCGAATTTTTGAGTTTCGATATCTCAGCTCTGGAAGGGGCTAGAGCCTCCATTTTTGCACTCAGGTCTAAGTCTCATGGCCCTCTATCAGAATCCAGAGTTTTGGGAAGATTGGAGAAACTTAATTTTTCGCCCGAAAAAAAAAAACGTAAGGGGTACCACTGTCGTTTTTTTTTTCGGGCCGAATTTTTGAGTTTCGATATCTCAGCTCTGGAAGGGGCTAGAGCCTCCATTTTTGCACTCAGGTCTAAGTCTCATGGCCCTCTATCAGAATCCAGAGTTTTGGGAAGATTGGAGAAACTTAATTTTTCGCCCGAAAAAAAAAACGTAAGGGGTACCACTGTCGTTTTTTTTTCGGGCCGAATTTTTGAGTTTCGATATCTCAGCTCTGGAAGGGGCTAGAGCCTCCATTTTTGCACTCAGGTCTAAGTCTCATGGCCCTCTATCAGAATCCAGAGTTTTGGGAAGATTGGAGAAACTTAATTTTTCGCCCGAAAAAAAAAACGTAAGGGGTACCACTGTCGTTTTTTTTTTCGGGCCGAATTTTTGAGTTTCGATATCTCAGCTCTGGAAGGGGCTAGAGCCTCCATTTTTGCACTCAGGTCTAAGTCTCATGGCCCTCTATCAGAATCCAGAGTTTTGGGAAGATTGGAGAAACTTAATTTTTCGCCCGAAAAAAAAAAACGTAAGGGGTACCACTGTC